TCGCTGTAGGTTCCCTCAACAACAATGCCTCAACAATGTCCCAACAATACAGAGAACTGTCAAAAAAAATAATCAATGAAATTTCTGAAACTTTTACAGGCAATGTTGAAATTTTCGGATTGAAAATTTCATTTGAAATTTTTAAAAATTTAACTTTTCCAACTAAATGAAATATTTCAAGTTTGAAACTTTCATTTGAAAATTTTAACTGTCCCAACCCTATCCTTACCGTTGCCGCTCGAGGCAGTTGCAGCTACAGAAGCTATCGCTGAAGCTTCTTTACCCTCTTGTGGGGCTAAAAATTAAAAAAACAACATACGTTAATTTTAAAAAATATAATAATGAAATAAACTATTTTTTTTACTTACAAACATTGGCTAGAGCAAAGCATACCACACTTAAAAGTATAAAAACTGTAGCTAACCCCATTGCAATTATTAAACTCTTAAAGTTAAAACCAAATTAATATTTTCCTAAATTATTCATACTCTTATACTAAAATTAAATATGCTCAAATCACTAATAAAAAAATAAACCAATTTAAACACATATTTAAATGGTATATATTTTAATAAACGTGTGATAACCATTTAGTAATTATTTTTCGTGTGGTTTCTAAAATTTTTATTAACGTTGCTCTAGAAATCACCATCAAAATGCAACCTGGCAGTAGACACTGGAAATCTAATAAGAAAAGTTTAAAATATTATTTTCGGAGTAAATCTAATAAACGTCTGGCCTTTCAAAATATATTTTATAAAGCAATAATTTTGTTTGCCAAAATTTCAAGTTTGAACAACAATAATATCCAACTACAACCAATATAAACGTCATAATTTTTCCTTTTTTGTAAGATTATTTTTGACAATAAAATGTTTCCATACATTTTAAATTACATTACGATATTTGCAAAAACAATCGGACATGTTCAACAGGCATAATAAAAATCAAATTAGTGTCAAGGACATAAGGTTACAAAACAGGATAAACTCGTAGGACTTTTTTTCGTTTAAATTACGCAAAAAAACACGAGGATTAGTGGATTTAGATTGCTGCCGTTGGCAGAACTGAACTCCGCATGTTTATTTATTAGTTTTTAATGCCCGATCGGGTATGTACGTTTAATTCTAATGAAAACTCTTTGACCTTTTGTTAAATAAAAAGTTAAAAGGTTGAACAAATCACTTTACATTGATTTTTTGAAATAATTGTTAAGTTTTTCAAATCGGTTTTTTGTTTTTTAGGCAAAATTATAATATTTTTTTCTACGACCACTATGTAAAAGTCACTTTTCATGATGGCATCGTTGCTTAGAAAATGAATCTTTTCATTGGCAAGGCAAAACACGAATGTAAAGTGACATTTCTGTGTGAAAAGTGACAGGTCTGTGTGAAAAGAAATTGACAGCATCGTTTGACATTCAGCTGTCAAAAAAGTTTTTAGGTTATTTTGTTTTGTATTTAAAAATAACAAAAAATAAAAGGGTCGCAGAAAAAACATTGTGTTATACTTGTGAGAAAAGCTTTCTTCAAGCTCGTGTTAATGCATACTCGGCCTAACGGCCTCGTGGGCAACTTAAAAACTCGCATGAAAAAGTCGCTTTTCAACACTTGTAAAACAAATAACTATTACATCATTATATTTTTGTCCAAGTTGCAAAACTTTAAAATGTATGGCTTTAATAATAAACTTTTAACGAGAGTAGATTTTCCAGTGTAATTATGTAATATAAGCCCAAAACTTGGTAAATTTACATCAAAATAGCAAAAAATAAAACATCTATCAAATTTATTAGGCAGGTACCTACAAGTTGCGTTTGATTTAATATTTTATGACATAAAAAGGTATTTAAACAACATCAAAACGTTGACACAATTTTATTTAATGCTAGTCATAATATATTATAAGAGTTTCGAATTTTTAAGAGAATTCTTTACGAGTTTCCAATAAAAGAAAAACATTAGTGGAGTACTTCAATTTATTTGGTCTTCAATAAAACTGCTTTATGCTTATCTTTTATTGAAAAACTTTATGATGCCATTATCAAATATTTGCCTACACCGATTTATTATGCCAAACACAGTAAATCAACGAGATTTTGCTATAAACATGGTGGCCCAACAAAAATAAAAGAGGAGTTTTTGGTTAGTATTTTTTTATACAGAAGAAATATACACGCATACATACAGGGTGAGTCATAAGTTGAAACCTTGAAATTTATCAGTTAGTATGCAATTTACCAAAAAATGTTTAAAATAAAAATTATACCTCAATTAGGATTAAATTAATTAATTGACAAAATAATGCTTTTTTCACCTTAAATGAGGTATTTTTATTAAAAATAGTACAATAATCCTTTATATTAAAGTATTTAATGCTGACAGGTAAAAAGTGACCATGGTGCGCAATTGATAATTATCACCGAATGAAATAATGTATAAAACTTAAACCAAAGGAAACTTAAATATTAGTTAAAAAATCATGGGTGATTAAAAAAATCATATTTAATTTAATAAGATAATTATTACCAAAAAAAGTGATATTTTTATAGAAAAATTATTGCAGAATTGTATAGGAAGAAAAATCGAACAAAATTGATTTTTTTCATTACAGCGTCATCTATTACAAATATGAAAAAATGTCTTAGACAAAATCTACCTATTTTTAGTCGAATGATCCGAATCTGCAATAAAAAATAGGGTGTTCCATTGGAAATTTTAAAGTTACCCCCTGTTCCCCCTATAAGGAGGAGAGTATGGGGACCAATTTAAGTATTGATTGATTTCCCCCCTCGAATCATTTTTTTTTATTTTAAACATTTTTTCGTAAAATTCATTCTAACTGAGATATTTCAAAGTTTCAAGTTATATGACTTAACCTTTATACCGTAACCTTTATAAGTATGGAAGAAATTCATTGAAAAATTCGACCTTTTTTTTTCTCAAAACAATTTAAATATTTTTTGCTATTTTTATAAAATCTCTGACGTAATCGGCTTATTTTTTCAAATTGTACCCCCGATTCGAAGAGAAATTGTCATTTCAGGCATGCATATTTATACCTTTTGGGCTGATAATTTCGAAAATATTAATTAAAAGTGGAAAATTTATAGTTTTTAATATTGTTTTCATGTTTTATAGTTTTTATTAAAAAACTTTTAAATGGGGTTTTGATAAAATTTAAAAGTGTTTATAAAAGAAACTTTCTCAAAATATTTCATTTCATGGTAAAACTTTTTTCATTTTATATTTCTAGGAGGTCAACATATCATTTTAAACCCAAAATTAAAATAGGTTGTAGGTCATCCTTTGAAAGAAATTTGATTTGATTTTTTTTACATATGTTTAAATATTTTTTTTTGCCTCTAAAAACTATTTATTATTTAAACTTTATTTATAAACAACCCAAATTATAGCATTCCCCAATAAATTATTATTTATTTTATTATAGCAAAAATAATTTATCAGGGCTGTATTTCACAAAATTCATTTTAAGTAAAAATATAAAAGTTGATATATTTTGTAATTAATTTTAAAGAATACTTAACTATATTTTAATTTTACTAAAAGTTGTTTTACCTTCAGTAAAACTAATCTTATGAGCTAATTTGGCCCTATTAAAAACATAACATTTAACTTAAACTTAACTTAAGGGAGACCTATCTAAGCCTAACTTAAACCTATATAATGAAGACTAAAATTAACTAAGAGTAATTTTAACCTAAAACTAATACAAACTAACATAACTAACTATAAACTAATCTTATATATACAAACTATTGTTTAGTCTTACCAAAGTTAAATAAGTTTTGATTGGTTTTAATAAAATTTATTATTATTGTAAATCAATTGTTTGCAAGTTAAAAAAACACATATTTCAAACAAAAATAGTACAATAGTGTGTTCCAAAATTATGCACAAACAACAAAAAATAATATTTAAATTTAAAATTTTATCTAGAAATATAAAATTATGTATTTCTAGGTAAATTTAATAAATACAAACATTATCTAGAAATACCCAGAAAATTCCTTTGGTTATAAAATATTTACAAATACCTACGTTAACAAAAATGACATTTGATCAATACTGTTCAACTGTTAAAAAAAACATAATTATACAGAGTTTTTGACAAAAAAACAGTTATTTTAAGATAAGATTAGTTTAGTTTTATTTTATTTTATTCTTATTTTTATTTTTAAAATATACCAATTATAAATGTAAATGTAAAAATAATGAACATTTTATGTACCTTTAACATATAGGTTTTGATAAAATTTTCAGGGTATACTAACATTAATAAGCTCTTTCAAAAGAACTTAATCGCAACCTTCTAAAAAAACTTATTTTTGTTGGTTTACCCTTGTAAAATTTGTGAAATTGTAATAAAAAAGTGTATGGATTTTTCGGAAGAAGCAAGAAAGAATGTTAAGTGTATAGTCCGGCTCACTCTAAGTTTGAACACCAAGCTACATTATACGTTTGGTGTTCTACCTTACAGTGAGCGGGCTGTACACAAAATCAACCAATCAGCGTCCAGGATTAAACAAGAAATAAAGAAGAAAGAAAAAAAAGATGTTACAGCAGAATCGTTCATATAGACTTTTTTCAAAAAAGTCCAGAGGGGTTAAATACCAACATTTTGGCGGCCAATTTTAGTATTAGTATTATAACTTTTATATTATATTATATTATACTATTTTAAACATGTCTCTTGAATTATCTACCCCCCATAAATTAGGGAAATATTAAAAACAGATGTGGTAACATAAAGGATGTAAGAATACGTTAAAAGAAAATCAATAAACAAAAAAATATTCATTGGAGCATGAAAAAACGTCAGGCGAAAGATTGATTTGTTTTTGCATGTCAATAAAATAAATTCGATTCTTAGGAAATCGTATTCGGTTGATGTTTATTTTTCATGTATATTTTATAAAACTTTAAATATTATTTCATGGAAATCTTTAATCAAAGTTTACATGGAATCTTTTATTTCAGACGAATTTTGCGAAGAATTCCCCCACAATTTTATCCCAACTCCTGGCTACTGGATCGAATGTTCCAGACAAAAAATAGCCTCTGATACCATTTGGGACGAAAGTGAGTCTGATCATGATATCCAAGAAGGCTATGAAGATGACAGACTTGATGGAAATGAGGAGAACGGCATTATTAATAGAAGAAAAGAAAGAAGTAAGTAAGCGGTCAAAGAATCCAAAAAAAATAACAAAAATATTTTCTCAAGGTTGTGATGATCTCTATGAAGACGATGAAGACGACGACTCATCATCTCCCAGAAAAAAGACGACAATAGAAGAGGCATGGGAGAAAAATCAGGCTTTCGAGCTGACAAGCGTGGAACAAGAGACCTACGAGAAGTATTTTTACGGCACGGAACATTGGAACTATTTCACGAACGACGAGGATCTGGGCCCTGTAATTTTGTCCATCAAACAGGAGACTTTACATGGCAGAGATCAGTTTAGGTGAGAGGATTTTCGCTCGGTTTAATTTATTTGGTTTTAGTTTCAATCGTAGTTAGGAGGATGTGGGAGGTCTGGTGTTTAATTAAATACGGGTGGGTTCTATTAGCTTAGGCTTTATTTTGACAAATGCAAATACAAATAAAACTATTAACTAGAAGTTTTATGAAAATATTAGATGATTTATTGATTTTAATTTTTCTTCAAAATTTGATTTTAATACATCATAAAAATTTGCAAAAATTGTGTAGATTTTTCGAAAAGTAATGTTTGACAGTTTGTACACAAGTAGCACAACTAGTTAAGTTAACGTTAAATTTACGTTATGCCTGGTTAATTCATTTAAGTAATATTGTACTACAACCTTTAATTAACGATATTTCTTAATAAGTGGGAAATACAATGATTGTAAAATTAACGTTAGTTAAATTTAACTTCTTGGTTAATATACTTTTTGTTTTAAAATAAGTTAATATTTTGTAGTTTTTGGTTTATTTTACCTCTTTTTACAACTTTTTAACTCTTAAGTCAACTTAAACCATAATTAACTGGTTTAAGTATATTTTAACTATATATATATTATAATTATATATAATTATAATTTACCAAATATGGTTATGGACATCTAGAGATGATTAAAATAAAATGTCGCCCCTGAATATTAATACTCATATATGTATGTAATATCAATATCAATATCAATATCAATAAATATCTTAAAGAGATAGTATTAAGGGAAAAACCAATGGGTATTTTTTTCTGATGAAGTAGTACATTAAAAAAATGAGAAATAAAGAAACTTAAAATTAAAAAAAAATATTTTTTAATCTATTTTTTTTAATTTATTTAAAATACATAAAATAATATTATGTTTTGTTATTGATTTGTTTAAATTACCTTATTTTTAAAATAAAAAAAATATTAAAATTAATGCCATTCCCTTTTTAGAATGGACAGCAAACAATATGTCGATTTTAGGATGCTTTTACTTATTGGTTATATGACCAATGTAAATTAACCTGCAAGTTTATTTAAACCATTTGATTATTTTATTGTATTTAATTGAACTACTTTATTTACCTATAAGTAATTTATAAATCGTTATAGTTAATAATTACCAAAATTAGGTAAATTAAAGTAACTAACTTATTATTTTTAAAATAACTAAAAAAATCTGACGTTCTGATTTTAGTTGCAGCTTTATTTTTACAAAACGAATCCATTTTGTGATAAAACCTATAGATGCTTTCCAAATTGATTTAATGTCTTTAAGTCTATATTTTTTTAAATTATTTAATTTAGTCTCCATTATCACACAAAACTCACAACCTATAGGTTTATTTATAAAACTGTATTAAGACTATTTTTTCTATACAAAACGTGTTGGTTAAAAAAATATATTAAAATTTACCAAAGCTGTGATTAATTTACCAAAAAGTTATATCAAAAGTTAAACTAAACCGAAATATGTCTAATAAAATACGTTGTCTTAGCCATTTTTAAAGGTTAAAATTAGACCTTAATATAACGTTATCTAATTTCTAAAATAACCCACTTTTTAACTTATAAGTAATATTACTAACTAGTATTACTGATATTTGGTTTATTTAGTCAATTTAAACTCTTAGAATAACCTTAATTTATCCATAGGTAAATTTAGGGTATTATAAGAGTTTAAATAGACTATAAATAAACCAAATATTTAACTAGTTAGTAATATTACCAATAGGTTTATTTCATTAGTAAAATTATACTAACAAATATAATCTTTATTTCAAAATTTGCACATACAAAATTAATTAAACAGTATATATACAAAAGGGAAACATGTCAAAAAAAAGAAATGAGAACATTACAAAACAAACATATCATTGAATGAGTAGGGCTCTAAATCACAAATCCAATCATAGACTTTCTTTTTAAAAAATTACCTTATATACCTTGTTTAGTTCATAGTAACCTTAAAAAAATTTTAATGGTTAAATACAACTAATTGGTTTAAAAATAAGTTTAGTTATTTTGGTTAATTTACTTAGAATAATAGTTACACTAGTTTACAAAATCAAAAAAAAAAATTGTGCCCAACATATCCCATTATAATTTTCACAGGTATTTTGACCCACTAAATACGAAAAACACACTCAATTTTTTTTTATGGAAGCGGAATAGAAATATTTTATTGTTTTTTTTTTAATTATCGGAGGTGTTTTGACGTTTTTGAGTATATCTTGAAATCTAATTGATATCGGATAAGTATTTTGACGCCAGCGATTTTAATAACTTAAAAATTTACATATCGTCCTGGAAAAGGTTTTAATCAAACAGATAACTCCAATTTAAATTTTTTTTATGACATTTTTTCAAAAAAAATAAGCTAATGTTGATAAAAATACATGAAAAAATGACGAAGTTATGCATTTATTAGTGGAAGACTAAATTTCAATTCGGCTTTTTGACGATTTTTATTTTATTTTTTTTCTTTTATTTTGTAATATGTTTAGTCTTTAATGAAAACCTAAATAAAGTGCATGATTGAAATTTTTTGAGTTTTTTACATTCTTTTTTCACCGAAAACATTATTCAAAATTTAAATTTGACATGACTCCGCAAACGTGAATTCTTTTGTTTCTCGTGTTGGCATAGTGACATTTTACTGATATTTTTTGATATTTCAACAAGGTATTTTTATCATGGTTTTATTTAGTTAATAAAAAGTGTAAAATGAGTAAAAGAAGTAGAGAGTTCGGGTGCTTAATAACCCGCACAATCTGGGCGACGTAAGTGATGAGCACGGAGAACGTTTTCCCCAGTTAATAAAGGCTATGGGGCGGCGGTATCACGGCTTCTGGGATGCAGCCATGATGGGGTATTACATTTGGTCCCTCATACGAGAAACGGAATACGGAAGCAACAAAAAACAAAGAAGGAGCCATTACTTATTACAACAAAATAAAACTTTTAATTTCTTCAATGTTCAATATTTATGATTCAATATTCAATATATAATTTAATGTCAATATTTAATGTTTAAAATAAAAATCAATGTTCATTATTAAATTTTACATTATTCAATAAAATGAAGAAAAAACGTAAAAATTCTCGAAAAACTGAATTTTGGTCTTCCACTGAAAAATTCATAACCTCGCCATTTATCCATGGATTTTTATAAACAGCAGCTTATTTTTTTCCTTTAAGTATAATCTATACGTAAAATAAATCAAACTGGAATTATATTTTCGATTTCTATCTTTCCCAGAAAGATATGTAAATTTTCGACCTCGATTTTTGTAAAAAAAAGAACTTTTTCAACTTTATAAAATCGCCAGTATCGAACTACTGAGCCGATACCAAAACTATACAAGAGAAAGTTGTAGAGGGCTCAATTACCTTTGATTTAATTGCTTGTTTGGTCAAATCGATCAATTAGAACTCGAAGTATTCTCTAAAACGTCAAATCACCTCAGACAATTAAAAAAAAAATAATTGAAAAAATATTTGAAAATTCATATCTCGAAAACGCTTCCATGAAAATCATAGTGAGACATTGTGGGCAAAATGGCTGTAAACTAGTGTTATTTAACCAGTTGTGCTACGTCAATTTAATTTAGAAGGACAAAAATTCGTATTTTTATCTTTAAAAGAAATAATTCATTGTATGAATCTCTATTTTAAGAATAGGCAATGCAAGGGTTAAATAAAGTAAGGCATCCCGTTGTGCAATCAGAAAAAGGAGTATAAATTATATTTACGACAGTAGCGGAGCCGTGGAATAATAATCAATCCAGGGATGGATATTAAGGCCAATTGCCCCGTATACTTTATGCCGATAAATCTTTATTTGAATTGCCTGTAATCCGTGTTTTCTGTCATTAAAAATTTACGACAAGTATGGCGGTGTAGCGTGGTTCGAAACAATAATCCAAAAACCGTCGTAAATAAAATTTCGCTTCATTATTGTTTTATAATTAGCGCGTGAGGGAATAAATTTGTTTGCAAAACTTCCTGGTTTTGGTTTGTGACCTTTAAGCACGACTTTTATGTGTTAACTTAAGGTAATTTAGCTTTCAAGGACTCGCCCAAGGATATTAAAGGAGTACACCTCGAAATTAAAGCGAAAGAAGGCAAAGGAAATAAGTAAAAAGCAACAAAAGTAAAAGGCTTAATATTGCACAATGTTTGAATATTAATTAATATAATAAAGTCCAGTGGCGGCCCGTCAGGGGAGGTAGGTGAGGCAGTGCCTCATCATAGAGAATTAAAAAATTAAGTATAATTTAAATATTTTACTTTCTATAATATACTATAAATTTTTAATATTTGGATTACATGAATTGTGAAATAGTCAATAAAATTGATTGATTTTATACGTGGAATACCCAGCAATATTTAAATTATTTGAATTTGAAACGACCGCAATTTAAACTAATATTTATAGCCTGAACTTATTTAGACTCACGATTGGCGTTAGCCTTGATGTCTCGTTCTATTACAATGCGATATCATAGTTGTCTCCTTCTCTCGTATTAGCATACGCGAGGCAGGCACGCCTACATCCAAGGAAATAAGCAGGTGTTGTGGCAACACTCTTGCGGAATTTTAGATAAATTATACTTCACACGTTTTTCAAAATTCAATAATAAATGGTATTATTTTTCTTATAATAAATTGATTTAATCGAAATTATATTTCTATTTTAAATAAACATATTTTAACACTATCGCCATCTTGTAGCCATCACATTAACAAATAAAATAAATACAGATTCCTTCTTTAGGTTTGTTTTGGTTATAAAATTCTGAACTGTTTAAAGAACAAATCTGTGGTTATTTACGCAATATTTTGTTTATTCTTTTTCTATGAGTTTGTCTATTTTATGATTCTTTTGTAAGTAGTTTATTCTGCGGGTTTAGTTAATTGAACTTGGTGATTTATGTGAATTTAGTAATTATGGATATTACGGTGAGAAATTGTACCGATATTGTTGACCTTCACGTGGTTCTTGCTGATAAATGAAATATTAATTAGACAAAAATGAGGTTTATTTAAAATAAACGTAATTTTTACAATAAAATATATTTCATTGACAAAGTAGAGGATTCCTTCCCCACCAGAGTCTAAGTTTTTGACTTAGTTTTAAGTATAGGTTGTGAACTGCGACGTCAGTTTTTTTAAGTTGGGTTTACAAAAATTTCTTCGCCTTTAAATGAGGGCGAAACCCTGCCTCTGCCTCACCAAAATGAAATGTCACGGGCCGCCACTGATAAAGTCATAAAATGGCGAAGGTGCCGGGATATTGACACTTAAGTGTAATTATGCTCAAATTAAAATCAGGATAAAATATTTATTTCATAACATTGCTACTAAGTAGACAGTTATTGGACATTTAATAGTTATTGGACAATTAACATTAATACTGTAAAAACAACAGTTCTATAAATAGTTACCTTAAAGTCAAATCATTAGATGACGCTGTATACAATTATAACTATCTCAGTCGGTAATAATATAGAACTACTTTATTTTGGGTCCAATATAGGACAAAAAAGTTCGCAGGTTACTTTGGTGGTATAATTTTTGTATTTTTGTTAAGAGCAGGACTGTGTTTAAATTACAATACAAAATATTTCTAAAAAGTGTACAGATCAGTGTGTGGTATAAATGTGTTCCTCGTGGTTTAACATTGTCACTTTAATGCGTTTTAATTTTAATTCTTAAAACAAACAGTAAAATTGCCAAAAATGTAAATTTCTATTATAATATCATACTCTATTTGTATCCCGGACATTTACCAGCCAATTCTTATGTAAAATTGTACCCTGAATCCGAAAAGACCGTCAAAAACTATAAAAGTTAAACAGTTTTTGAGACACAGTCAATTCCATATTATATGTGAAATTGATTATATTTCAAAAACTGTCCTACTTTTATAACTTTTGACGACATTTTCGGATTCGGCAAATAATATTTCATAGGAATTGACTGCTAAATGTCCTGGATACAAATTGCTGTTGACGAGAATTATTAGTGGCTGCTTTTTCGCTATGACATTTTTGACTAATTCATTTTTAGAAAGTAAGTAATATAGTGATTTCTTCGTCACAGGACATCTTGCGGAATAACAGTGATTTAAATAAAGTGCATGATAGAGAACATAAAAAACGAATAGCAACAAAATTGAAAAAATCGGAAAATACTTTTAACATACCACCCAAAAAAATATTAGATATATATAAATCATCATGTTCCGGCCTAAACATTATTAATGCTTCACAAACTAGAGATACCTCACTTAATGATATTTGCAACAAACTATTATAGAAGTCAGTCCAATGAATTAGTGGTTACCTTCAGAATCCAGAAAAGGGATGAGGAATCCGAGAAAGAAATATATCAATTATATGATATTTACAAAAACGAAATAGCAATTTATCTTTAAAAAATATTTAACAATTATGTTATTTGATGTTATGTTTATATAAAAATTGTATGTCCAATAACTATGGTCCATGTGTCCAATTACTATTTAAAATGTCCAATTACTGTACTTTTTGCATGTTTTTATAAAACTATTATTAAAAATTCAAATTGTCTTATTTTTAAGTAAACGTAAATAAATTTTAAACAAACAAACTATCCTTTTTATATATTTATAAGAAAAAAACTAAAATCTTTTAAACAACTGCATATGTGTAGAAATTTTATCCTGATTTTAATTTGAGCATATAGTAGACAGTAACCTACAGTTAAAAAAATAATTAAAATTTAGATGAGCGGCTTCCTAGAAAATCAACATTAAAATTGTGGCCAACTTCTGGTGGCCGTTTTTTTTGCCGAAAAAAAATTTAAAATTAAACACTCCACCAAACTAAATGTATACATAGTGTCAACTCAATTAATTTGTTCCGTTAAATTATGTATGTAGTTTGTAAGAGCTCAAAAATGTCAAACAATTCCCTCGAGGTTTAATTCTCGAGGTCTCAGGAATACATTTACTGCTGCGGCATATTCAATACCGAAATTATCACCGCTAATTTGGCTCGAATGCACCCAACAAATCTGTTTAATTTACATTTTCTGCCAAATTAAGCCGGCTGTGTCGACATAGATGACTGTTTATTTAATAACAAACCGATAGCGAGAACTAGTGAAAGTGTCCATAACAATTATATACAGGGTGGAAATCTTAACTGGAATAAATTCTGTATTTTGAAAACCACTTACTTTTTTAAAAAATTCAAAAACAGGTCAATTTATAAATTTACCTGGGTAAATTGTGGTAAATCTTAAAAATATAAGAAACCACCCTTTGAGGGTGCAACCAACCCAAACTTTTTTTTTCAAATGCAAAGGTATATCAAGTGATACATCATTTGAAAGCTCTTTTTAATAGGAATTTATACAAATATGCAATTTTTAATTATTTTATTTTGGTACCTTAAAGAAATAAATACTTTTTTATATCCACCAAAAACGTTGTATATTCAACCGAAAGAATGTATTTTAGTTCTTTAAAATTAGTTGCAAGTAACGTGTTCTAAATTGACCGTAAAAATGTCTTATTTAACTGAAACTTTGCGTATTGAGATTCTAATGATGATTGGATTTGGTGATAGACGTCGAAATCAGACAGAAGTTGCACGATTATTTAACGAAACGCATCCAGAATTGCCTCACATTTGCCAAGGGACTGTTAGTAAAGTAGAAGCAAAATATCACGAAAATGGTCATGTAAGAAATATTCCTAGACAACGCCAGCCTATCGTTGAAGACAATACGAAGCTTAATGTACTATTAGCAATCCAAGAAAATCCTGTTACTTCAGCTCTACAAATTGCTCGCGAGAACGATTTGAGCCACACCACTGTAATGAAGTTACTACATGCTTCAAAAATGCACCCGTATAAGATGCAAGCAGTACAGGAACTAGTTGGGGATGATATCGATCGCAGAATTGAATTTTGCGAGCAAATGATGAACCTTATTAATGATAACCAAATTTCCTTGGATTGGATACTATTTTCCGATGAAAGTACGTTTACTTTAAATGGTGAAGTTAATCGTCAAAATTGTAGATATTGGAACGACAGCAATCCTCATTGGATTGAAGAAAATCATACACAGTATCCACAAAAGGTAAATGTTTGGGCTGAAATAATTGGTAATAGAATAATTGGTCCCGCCTTTTTAAACGAAACTCTAAATGGCGAAAGGTACTTAACTTTTCTTCAAGAAGATCTTATACCATATTTGGCAGTTTAGTTTCAAACGAGAATGATCCAGACAGATAATAGAGTCTGGTTTCAGCAAGATGGAGCTCCACCGCACTACGCATTACCCGTTCGTCGATACCTAAATGAAATATTTCCTAATCGGTGGATTGGTAGAAGAGGTGCAGTTGAGTGGCCACCCCGATTTCCAGACCTTACCCCGTTGGATTTTTTTCTGTGAGGTTACCTTAAAAATAAAGTTTATATAACCAAACCAACTAATATTGAAGATCTTAAAGAGAGTATCCGACACGAAACTTCTTTAATATTACCTGAGATTTTGGAAAAGGTTAAAAATGAATTTTATAATCGTCTAGGATTTTGTCAAGAAATATTATTTATCATAAAATGAAGTTTTTATTATTTATAATTATTCAAAAATAAAATAATTAAAAATTGCATATTTGTATGAATTTCTATTAAAACAAGCTTTCAAATGATGTATCACTTGATATACCTTTGCATTTGAAAAAAAAAGTTAGGGTTGGTTGCACCCTCAAAGGGTGGTTTCTTATATTTTTAAGATTTACCACAATTTACCTAGGTAAATTTATAAATTGACCTGTTTTTGGATTTTTTTTAAAAATAAGTGGTTTTCAAAATACAGAATTTATTCCAGTTAAGGTTTCCACCCTGTATATGTACTCGTATATATATATATAATATATATATATATATACATATATATATATACATATATTAATATTTTCTGTATACCTGCATAAAATAATATTTTTTTTCCTTTCAGGATATTAGTAAGAGCTATAAGCTATACAGTTCATGGTTTGATACCAGCAAGTTGTGTATTTGCTGACAGGTATAATCGTGAAGAAGTTGTGCGATCTCTTGGTAAAGAAGTTAATATCAATCCTCCTTTAATTTTGGGGCAACTCCCAGATACTCCGGAGGAGTTATTGAAATTAGATCAGGTTTTCATTAAATCTGAGTTAAAAGTGGGTGTGATTTATGTGCAGGAGAATCAGTACTCCGAGGAAGAAATACTGGACAATAATGATAATTCTTTTCTGTTTGACGAGTTTCTGCAAATTTTGGGGGAGAAGATTCGATTAAAGGGGTTCGATAAGTACAAGGGGGGTCTGGACACAGTCCACGACTTAACAGGTAACCAAAAAAAATCTTTTGCATATTCCACCTCACAAACTTTATATTTTAGGCTTATATTCTGTATACACAAACTGGAGAAACATAGAGATCATGTTTCATGTTAGTACTCAGCTGCCTTACGAAAGGCACGACCCTCAAAAACTCCAGCGAAAAAGGCACATTGGTAACGATATTGTTTGTGTTGTGTTTCTCGAAGCTGACAACACCGCTTTTTCGCCGGCGTGCATTAAGAGCCATTTTCTGCACACGTTTATTTTGGGTGAGTAGCTCTGGTTATATTGAAATTAATCGGTTTTGCATATTAGAAGTAATGCGTGGGGGAAAGTAAGAGTTTTTTTAAGCAGGATTTATTTTAAATGTTAGTTGTGGTTGCCGGGTTACATTTTTTTTTTACGTTGTATTGGAATATTTGAACAAAATTCGCTCAGTAGTCTTAATTTAAAAATAATAATAATAATAATAAGTATAGCAGTATAAATATAAAATATAGCAAGATAAATTTTTAAAAACTTTTATTTAAATTTTATTTTAAATTTTAAAAAATAAAAAATTTACAAAATTCACCAAATTTTTAAAATCTATATTGTTTCAAAATTTTACAAAAAGATTTAAAAAATCTGTTTTGAGCTTTAAAAGATAAAATTAAAATTTTAAAATTTCCAAAATTTTTAACATTTTAAACTTTTTTTTGGCCCTCAGAGATTAAAAAAAACTCAAAAACTTTAAAAGCCTTTTTTTATACCTAAAACTACCAAGCATTCCAAAATTTTCAACATCTTTAAAATTTAAAACATTTTAAAAATTTCCAAAAAGTATCAAAAATATAAAAATTTTAATATTTTGTGTTTAAATGCTCAAGAAAGCTTCTAAAGCCCAACAGCTTAAAAAATCTGAAAACCTTAAAGTGGTTTTAAAAAGCCCAAAAGCTTAAAAAGCTTTAAAAAATGTCAATTATCAAACCCTTAATTTAAAAATTGGTAGGACTTATTCGAACCGCAGTTCAAAATTTAAAAAAAATGACAAAATTCGCGCAGCAGTATAAATATAAAATAAGGCCGGATAAATTTTTAAAATCTTTCAAATTTTAAAAATTTACCAAATTCACAAAATTTATAAATATTTCATAAATCTTTTTGGAGCTTTAAAAGATAAGCTTAAAATTTTAAGATTTACAAAATTTGAAAATTTCCAAAACATTTCAATTTTTTAACTTTTTTTGACAGCTCAAATAAGCTTAAGATGGCTAAGCTAAGAGATTAAAAAAAGCTCAAAAGCTTAAAATAGCTTTAAAAAGTTTAAAAGATTTTTTTATAAAACTACCAAGAATTTCCAAAAAATATTAAACATTTTAAAAATTTACAAAAAATATCAAAAATATTAAAATTTTAATCTTTTGTGTTTAAAAGCTTATGAAAGCTTTTAAAGTCCAACAACTTAAATCATTAAAAAAATCTTAAAGTGGCTTTAAAAAGTCCAAAAGCTTAAGAAAGCTTTAAAATGTCAATTATTTTGTATGCAAACGTAAAAAAATGTTTTCTACAGATGGAAAATTACAAAACTTAAATTTTTAAACTTTTTTTGACAGCTTAAATAAGCTTTAAAATGTTAGAGATTAAAAAAGCTCAAAAGCTTTAAAAAGTTTTTTCTACTCCCACCTTTAAAACGCCCTTTATCGTACATGTTTCCATGACACTAAGTGACCTTTTAAATACACATTGACAAGTTGTGGCTTTATGACGCTTTAGTCACGGGCTGAAGTTAGAAACAGGTTTTTAGTCACGGGCTGAAGTTAGTTTTAAGTTAGTTGACAGTTGACAAATGTCATACAATCGTTAAAATAATACTAAATGTGAAAATTATTTTATTATCTCAATACAAAAATACAAAAGTATTAAATAGTTTCTCAACGCCAATATTTGAAAAGTTTATATGAACAAAGTATTGCCTTTTAATTTCGCCGGCAGTAAACTATAATTTAAATTCGTGCACGGGCTCCACTGTAAAGTGCTCATAAAACATTTTATTTACTTTTACTGTGAAAAACTGTCAATTTTCAAGAAATACATTTCGATTTATAACCTTTATAATTGTGTTTATAAAATTTAAAAATTCGACATTTGACGTTGACACACAGATTCCCCTATTGTTTCATAGATGGCGCTCTACACAAATTTTTGATTTATTCATTTTAAGATAATAATAAGTATTTGTCGTAGAAAAAGTATAGTATGCACCTCGTTTATAAACTTTTCTATACACTCATTAATTTAAGCACTCGCTCGCAAGCTCGCTCGTGCCTAAATTATATTCGTGTATAAAATGGCGTTTATCAAACTTGATACATAATATACTATAAAAGCTTTTTTTATAAAACTACCAAAATTTTCAAAATCTTTAAATTACATCACTAAAAAGTTTAGAATTTTTAAACATTTTAAAAATGTTCAAAAAGTATCAAACATTTTGTGTTTAAAAGCTCATATAAAGGCCTAAAGCTTAAAGCATAAAAAATCTGAAAATCTTAAAATCTTTCCGACTCGACTGATGGCTATCGCGTGCGGAAAAGTTGTAGTGCTAGTTGGGTAAATAACTATTTTCTTATAAAAACTTCTTTGCAGTGCGGACATCGCCGCGTATTAAAAGAAAACCGACCCGCTACGAGGTTTCAGTAGTGACTCGCGATGAAGTAGGAGCATACAAACCATACCTATGGGAACAAAGCGTATTCGATAAAGGCCCGATGTTCCGTGAATGGCTGCTAACGAAAATCGTCAACGGGGAAAGGGCCAGCTATTCGGCCCCCAAATTCGCACGCATGCAAGAACGCACTAGGTCCCAAATGCTCGAAGATATTGTGGCTAACCTGCAGAACCACGCTGAAACAGGACAAATACCAAAGCCATACAGAAGAGGTAAGATAAGTTACTTATAAAGACAATATTCTGTTCATAACATGTTAACTTAGGTTCTTGGAGGCCAATCGGACATATGAGACCCTCCTCCCCACTCCTGGACAGCGTTAGAGATCAATTCGAGGACTACGATCAAATAGCTAAAGACTTCACCAAAATGTTCCTGAATAATGAAGCCAACACTCTACAAAACGTACTATTGTTTGATGTGGTATTCATGGTGGGACAATCCAAGCAAAAAGTCAAACTCATCGGGGTTAGAGCCATCCTTGGTGTCAGAAGTAGAGTTTTTCAGGAGATGCTGTATGGAATACAAACTGGTTTTGGCTCTCCTCAGGTACCAGTAGCGGACATATTAGCCCGCCCAGTGCCCACTTTGATGAGCCCTCAGCAAAGAGCCCCAAAGAGCAGTAATTTCCTTCAAGTCCCAGATATTGAATCGCCCAGACCAAAAAGTGTACCATCTTCACCCATGGTTAAAAGGGCATTCACCAGACTTGGAACAATTACTGCTGGTTGGGGAAGATCCATACGGAAACATAATGCTCAGACTTTATCCGCCGAGGACAAGAAAAAATGGTCTAGCAGCCATGATTGTTCAAGTAGGTAACTTAAATAATAGGATTCTATCATAAGTAATAATGTTTTAGATAAAGAAGGCAAGGACAAAGATGGCAAGGAAAAGCTAGCACCCAATCAGCTTCCAGTACCACGCCTCAGCGTGTGCGCTGATGCGCAGAAGGTAGACAGAGCCAAACTCGCGCAGACTGAATTTTCGATAATCGAGTTTGATCCCGAGACGTTCAGAATTCTGTTGGATTATCTGCACACCGGCTCTTGCCCACTGACGTGCATTACAATACCTGGTTTGATTTGCGCAGCTGAGCACTACGATTTGCCGGAATTATTACAAGCTTGCTTTCATCATGCCAAGCAGTTTTTAAGAATAGAAGTGGTAAGTACAAAGTTTTTTAATATAACATTCCGAAGGGGGCTTATGAAAAACAATATGGGTTTCAAAAAAAAAACTTTGAAATTAATCTAAAAAAACTAAAGAAACTTTGAAAAAGCGTTGAAAGAAACTCTGGAAAAAGTAAAGAAACTTTTAAAAAACTTTGAAATACACTTTGGAAGAAACTAAAGAACTTTAAAAATACTTGTAAATAACTTTGGAAGACACTATAGATATTTTGAAAGAAACTAAAGAAGCTTTTAAAATTTAAAAGAAATTAAAACACTTTGAAAGAAAGTTTGGAAGGAAATTTAAAAGAAACTTTTAAAAAACTTTGAATTACACTTTGAAAGTAAATACAGATATTTTAAAGAAGCTTTTAAAATTTAAAACAAATTTAAAAAACATTAGAAGAAGCTAGATACTTTAAAAAAACCTTAAAATAAACTTTGGAATATATTAAAGACACTTTGAAAAAAACTTTTAAAGAAATTTTGAAAGTAAATTTAAAAGTTACTTTAAAAAAACTTTAAAGTAAAGTTTATATGAAACTTTGAAAGTAACTTAAAAAAAATTTAAATGAAGCTTTGAAAGAAATTTTGAAAGTAAATTTGAAAGTAACTTTGAAAGAAACTTTGAAAGAAACTTTAAGGAAAGTTTGAAAGAAACTTTGAAAATAACTTTAAAAGAAACTTTGAATGAAGCTTTGAAAGAAACTTTAAAAGAAATTTTGAAAGTAAATTTGAAAGCAATTTAAACTTAAACAAAACTTTAACAAATTTTTTGAAAAAAACTTCTTGAAAGGAGCGTTAAAAAAAACTTCGAAAGAAACTTTTTTGAAAGAAATTGTAAAAGAAACGTAGAAAGAAACGTTATAAAAAACTTAACATAAAATTTAAAAGAAACTTTGAAAAATTCTTTTTTGAAAGAAACGTTGAAAACTTGAAAAGAAACTTTTTTGAAATAAACTGAAACAAATGTTTAAAAAAACTTTCAATGAGACTTTGAAAAAACTTTGAATGAAACCTTAAAAGAAAGTTTAAATAAAGATTTGAAAAAAACTTCAAAAGAAACTTAAAACTTTTTAAAGTAACTTTGAAAGAAACTTTAAAAGAAATGTTAAGTCAAACTTTAAAAGAAACGTTAAAAGAAACTTTGAAGGGTACTGAAAGAAACGTTGAAAGAAACTTTGAAATATACTTTAAAAAAACGTTGAAGAAACTTTGAAAAATACCTTGAAAGAAACGAAAATAAAAAAAGAAAAGAAATTTTGAAAGTAAATTTAAAAGCAACATAAACTTAAAAAAAATTTTTGAAAAAAACTTATTTAAAAGAAACTTTTGAAGGAGCGTTAAAAGAAACTTTGAGAGAAACTTTTTTAAAAGAAACTTTGAAAGAAATGTTAAGTTTCTTTAAAATAAATTTTTTTTAAGAAACGTTAAAAGAAACTTTGTAAGAAACGTTTAAAAACTTTAAAAGAAACTGGAATAAACGTTGAAAGAAACTTTAAAAGAAACGTAGGAAGAAACATTAAATAAATTTTTTTTAAAGAAACGTCGAAAGAAAAAAAACATAGGAAGAAACTTTAAATAAAACTTTAAAAAAACGTCGAAAGAAACTTTAAAAGAATTTTTTTTTAAAGAAACGTTAAAAGAAACTTTAAATGAAACCTTAAAAAAACTTTGGAAGACGCTAAATAAACTTAAAAATAAGAACCTTAAAAATAAGTTTGAAAGAAACTTTGTTTGCCCCCTTTAGTCTGAGTAACCTGTATTAAAATTTAATGTAATTAAAATTTCAACACTATACATTCTGTTAAAATTGTAGTAACATTTTTCTTTAGGTTTGCAGCATGTTGGTATCCTTAGAAAACTACTACTGGAGATACACCTCAGCCTCAGAACTGGTGAACATGATCTTGGCGTTCGTCGAAACAAGAGCTCTGATGCTCTTTCAACGCACCGAGTTTTTGAATCTGAGCGAGTCGATGGTGCAGATGATAATGTGCCGGAACTTGGAGGTGAACGAGGTGCGAAAGTTCGAGGCTATGTTGGCTTGGGCCAGGCACAAAATACGTACGAAAACTTCCAGCAAACTGGACGCCAAATTAGAGTTTAAGTGTATCATGGAGAGACTGGCCAGGGACTTGAAGTTGTACAGAATATCGCCTCAAGAATTAATTAAGGTATGTCAAAATGTATTCTTTTAGTTCGGCATCCAATTTAATTATTTTTTAACTCACAACTGGAATAATTTGTGATTATTCTATAATTATTTCGTGGTTTTGTTACTTCTTTGGATTTTAGTTTTTTTATTAACAATTTCAGTTCATTAATATTTTTAGTTTCATGAGATTTCTATTACAATTTTTTTCCATTAATTAATTTCTATATGTTCTTCGGCTTCTTTGGTTTTTTGGTTTGTTTAGTTGTAAGTATAAAAGTTTCTACACAACTTCTTTCAGTTTCTTTCAAAAAAGTTTCTTATAAAAACCGTTTTCTTCAAAGTTTCTTTTAGTTTCATTCAACTTTCTTGCAAAGTTACCTTTAAAGTTTCTTGTAATGTTTCTATTAAAGTTTATTTTAAAGTTACTTTCAAAGTTTCTTTTAACTTTTCTTTCAAAGTTTGATTTAAAATTTTAAAAAGTTTCTTTCAAAAAAGTTTCTTTCAACGAGGTTTCTTTTAAAACCGTTTTTTTCAAAGTTTCTTTCAACCTTTCTTTTAAATAAAGTCTTTCAAAGTTTCTTTCAAAAAAGTTTCTTATGAAAACCGTTTTTTTTTCAAAGTTTCTTTTAAGGTTTCTTTTAGTTTCATTCAACTTTCTTGCAAAGTTACTTTTAAAGTTTCTTTTAATGTTTCTATTAAAGTTTATTTTTAAAGTTACTTTCAAAGTTTCTTTTAACTTTTCTTTCAAAGTTTGATTTGAAATTTTAAAAAGTTTATTTCAAAAAAGTTTCTTTCAACGAGGTTTCTTTCAAAACCGTTTTTTTCAAAGTTTCTTTCAACCTTTCTTTTAAATAAAGTCTTTCAAAGTTTCTTTCAAAAAAGTTTCTTATGAAAACCGTTTTTTTTTTCAAAGTTTCTTTTAAGGTTTCTTTCAGTTTCATTCAACTTTCTTCCAAAGTTACCTTTAAAGTTTATTTTAAAGTTTCTATTAAAGTTTCTTTTAAAGTTTTCTTCAAAGTTTCTTTCAAAGTTTCTTCAAAGTTTTCTTCAACGTTTCTTTCAAAAAAATGTCTTTCAAAGTTTATTTAAAAACCGTTTTTTTAAGTTTCTTTTTAAGTTTCCTTTAAAGTTTTATTCAAACTTTCTTGCCAAGTTTCCTTTAAAGTTTTTTCAAAGTGTTTTCAAAGTTTCTTTTAAATTTTCTTTTAAAATTTCTTTTAAAGTTTCTTTCAAACTTTCTTTTGAAGATTCTTGAAAGGTTTTTTTCAAAGTTTCTTCAACGGTTCTTTCAAAGTTTCTTTCAACGTTCCTTTCAACGTTTCTTTCAAAGTTTCTTTTAAAGTTTCTTTTAAATTTTGGTTTAAAAAATTTTTCAAAGTTTCTTTTAAGGTGTCTTTCAGTTTCATTCAACTTTCTTGCAAAGTTACCTTTAAAGTTTCATTTAGGTTTTTTTCAAAGTTTCTTTCAAAGTTTCTTCAACGTTTCTTTCAAAATAATGTCTTTCAAAGTTTATTTAAAAACCGTTTTTTAAGTTTCTTTTTAAGTTTCCTTTAAAGTTTCTTAAAGTTTTATTCAAACTTTCTTGCCAAGTTTCTTTTAAAGCTTTTTTCAAAGCGTTTTCAAAGTTTATTTTAAAATTTCTTTTAAAGTTTCTTTCAAACTTTCTTTTGAAGATTCTTGAAAGGTTTTTTTCAAAGTTTCTTCAACGTTTCTTTCGAAGTTTCTTTCAAAGTATATTTCAAATTTTCTTTTAAATTTTGGTTTAAAATTTCTTTTAAAGTTTCTTTCAAAGTTACTTTAAATAAAGTTTTTTCAAAGTTTCTTTTAAACCCGTTTTTTTAAGTTTCTTTCAAATCTTCATTTAAACTTTCTTTTAAGGTTTCATTCAAAGTTTTTTCAAAGTCTCATTCAAAGTTTTTTCAAAGTCTCATTCAAAGTTTTTTCAAAGTTTCTCTTTAAGTTTCTTTCAAAATTTGTTTCAAAAAAGTTTCTTTCCAAGTTTTTTCAATGTTTCTTGTAAAGTCTCTTTCAAAAAAGTTTCTTTCGAAGTTTCTTTTAAAGTTTCCTTTAAAAAAGTTTTTTCAATGTTTCCTTGAAAGTTTCTTCCAAAGTTTCTTTTAAAGGTTTTGACAAAATAACTTTATTTCAGGTGGTGTTGCCGTCAAAGGCGATCAAAAACGAACGCATCCTGGAAACCCTGATGTTCCAAGCAAACTCGGGCATGTACAGAATCCAGGACTCGTACATTAAGGAATGCACCCAAAGACTACAAAAGCAGGACTCCCGTTTCTCCGAATGGGAATCCTTTGATTTCAACTAAAAAAACATAAAAAAGACTTTGTGCAGTTTTTTTTACAAAAAAAGACAATCAACGTTGTATAGAGTGAAGTTTTAACACCTGAAAAAAGATTTGCCAACAAGGTCAAGTGTTTGTAAGTTAAAACGTATTGCAGGACAATCTTTGACATAAAAATTTTATTAAAATAAAAAATGATTGTATGCCTTGGTTGTGGATACTTAACCCATAGGGCATGATGGGTAATTCTTTGTGAAATGTATTTCTTAAAGAATCACCCATATCTATAAAATACCCTAAATTTTACCGTGTATCTATTATAGGGGTAAGTCAATAATTAACATAAATATTTGTTTGAACTAATAAAGGTTTTCATTGTCTAAAAATGCAATAATAATAAATGTAATGCAACAATAATCGATGTAGGTATATTTTTCTATAACTGTTAAATAATATGACTTTTATTTATGTTATTTTGACTTAGTCCTATTATCCTCTCAATGAATGGAATTATTATCTACTTAACTTACATCATATTATTGTGTATTCATTATTTTTTCAAAAAAAAAATAATGATTACACAATGCAATGAACAAATCTACGCTTATAATGTTAATAATTAAAAAATATATAATTCCATTTTCCATAAATAAATATAAATATACTCTTCTTTATTTGTACTTTATATAAATGGTAATCGTAAGTATTTATTTATAAAACTATGTAGAAACAACAAAATATTAAGTACAGGGTGTTTTAGTTTAAACAATTGTAAAAAAATTAATAAACCCATTCAGTACTGATATAACTAACACACCCGGTAGAATATTTTAATTTTTACATTATTATACAGGATTTTTATATCTCAAATTGTATTGTTTATCCTTCTACACACATACGTACAGGGTGTTGTAAACATAAAATAATTGTATAATATGCAATAAAAACACCCTGTATTGTTGATTTCCATATACAGAATGTTTAAACTGGGTTTATTTGAGATTTTACGGAGCGAAAAAAATAATTGTGCCAAATACGCTTAGAAAAACACTCTGTATAATTTTAGCATAACATTGCTGTTTACATATGTGTTTGATGTTCACTTTTTAAAGACTAAATATATTTTAACTACTTTAGATAGCCAAAAAAATGTTAACATATTTTGATACTAAATGAAAGAATGAAAAACAGCATAAAAATGGGATTTAATTTGTTGAATATTATAATAATGAGTGTCTTATTATAAAAAAGCATATAGAGTACATATATTATACATAAAAATACCGGTGTTGTACCAAATTGTCTGTCTTTGAATAATTTGCTTTGTACCTGTTGTTTGTATTTAAAAAGAATTAAAAAATCAACACGTTGCAAAAATGGCGAATGCGCCGGGATAGAGCAGTGTTTTACTAAAACGGCTATAACTTTTTATTAAGGGTTATATTTATAAGAAAATTACAGTTGGTAAACAAAGAGTGATCTTTAAAAAAGGGGTTATTTCTATTCGTATACCCTATAATATGTTATATATCATAAAATAGGCTCCTTTTTTGCTTTATTATATTTTTTTTCTTTTTTTTTCGCAGAAACCTGGCATTTTTTGCGACGTTGCAAAATTTCCAACCAATCTGGGATTTTTGTTTTTTGTTCAGAACTTGGAAATCTTTTAAAATCTTCAGAAAACCTTTAAAATTTTTTAAAATCTTCAGTATACCTTCAATAAGTTATTTTACAGAATCTGGTAATTTTTTAAAAACATGATCCGCCAAAAATTTACAGAACCTGGGATTTTTGCAAGTTTGCCAAATTTACAAAAAATATGGGATTTTTGTTTTTCGTATTTTTTTGAAATTTCACAGGAACCTGGAATTTTTTGCGACGTTGCAATTGAATTAAACGATGCTGCCAAATTTACAAAAAATCCCAGAACCTAGGAATTTTTTAAAATTTTCAGGATATATTTAGTAAGACAACTTGCACTATTTAGCGGTGTTGCCAAGTTTATATATATATAAATACTAGACTGGATAAAAAAATCAACTATTTTTTTTTTTGAAAAATATATCGAAAATATGGTTTGTGGTGACAAAAAAAATGATTGTGAAAGTTTGAGTCCATAATATTAATATTAAGAGGTCTATCATCGCAATTTTAAATTGTTTTCCTCAGCAAGTTTTTCTCTCAGAACTCCTAAACTATTGAGTTTAACAAAATTGACTAGGAAATATTTTTTTAAGAAAATTAAATGCTCTACAAAAAAGGTTAAATGAAATTTTTCGCCAGATAAACCGTTTTCTTAAAATCATGCCTTAAAAATTGGTTTAGTTTTACATTTTGATCTTTTAACTTTGGAATTTTGTAATTCATGTAAAAATAAGTACCCGGGAAAAAAACCGATAGATATTATTATGGGAAATCAAATGCTATAATACATAATAAACTATAATTTTTAAGGGATGATTGTAAGAAAACGGTTCATCTGACGGGAAATTCCAATTTAAACTTTTTGTAGAGCATTCAATTTTCTTCAAAAAATATTTTAAAGTCAATTTTGTTAAACTTAATGGTTTGGGAGTTCTGAGACAAAAACTCGCTCAGGAAAAAAAATCTAAAATTGGGATGATAGACCTCTTAATATTAATATTATGGACTCAAACTTTCACCATAATTTTTTTTGTCACCCCAAACAATATTTTCGATATACTTTACAAAAAAAAAGTAGTCGATTTTTTTTGGCCCAGTCTAATAAATATATACATTAGGGTGTCCGTTATTTGGGCGATGTGCGAATTTTTTTGCTCGCACCCCCCAAAAAGTTGTAGTTTTGGTAATTTTTTTAGATTTTTATTTTTTAATTAACCCGTGCCGCAAGAGGGTTAAAGATTTAATTATTGTTAAAATATGATTAAATTTTGCCTTTCACTATAGGCTTACCACTCCACGATTTTTCAATGAAAAAAGTCTGTCGAGTGGTTTTCTTATAGTTCAAACACCGCTGAACCCGAATCTGAAATTCGTTTTTTTTTTTCATTAATCGTTTTTTTAGAATAGCCTGTGTCGGGAGTAGGTAAAATCGCAAATCGGATGAAAAATGGGATTAGGCTCTTTTCACATTGAAAGTCCTGTAACGTCGCCAGTTTTCAATAAAAAAATCTGAAAATTGGTATACTTATGGTTTTGACATCGCTGAACTCGAATCTGACATTTTCATTGATGACAGCTGTCAAAATAGCTGTCAAAAATCCCAAAAAACGGTTTTTTATTAAAAATGCCCATTTTATGGTTATTTCATGCGCTGAATCTGAATTTGATGCACTTTGAATTATTTATTTTCATAAAACCAAAATCCAAATCACTCAATAAAATGTACAAATGATTGAACTGTCAAATTTCAATTTCCAAACATAATTTTACAGGGGCAAATGGGCATTTTTAATAAAAAATCGTTTTTGGGATTTTTGACAGCTATTTTGACAGCTGTCATCAATGAAAATGTCAGATTCGAGTTCAGCGATGTTAAAACCATAAGTATACCAATTTTCAGATTTTTTTATTGAAAACTGGCGACGTTACAGGACTTTCAATGTGAAAAGAGCCTAATCCCATTTTTCATCCGATTTGCGATTTTACCTACTCCCGACACAGGCTATTCTAAAAAAACGATTAATGAAAAAAAAACGAATTTCAGATTCGGGTTCAGCGGTGTTTGAACTATAAGAAAACCACTCGACAGACTTTTTTCATTGAAAAATCGTGGAGTGGTAAGCCTATAGTGAAAGGCAAAATTTAATCATATTTTAACAATAATTAAATCTTTAACCCTCTTGCGGCACGGGTTAATTAAAAAAAAAAAATCTAAAAAAATTACCAAAAATTTTTTTTTCCCAAACTACAACTTTTTGGGGGGTGCGAGCAAAAAAATTCGCACATCGCCCAAATAACGGACACCCTAATATACATATATACCGTAACATTATATTTTTTCCCTTTTTTCTTCCAAATATTTACAGAACCTAAGAATTTGTTGCGACTTTGCCAAATTTTCGAAACATCACAGAATTTGTAATCTTTTTAAAATCTTCAAAACACAACTGTGTCTTACATTTTGGGGGGTTCAAACCCCCAAAACCCCCCTGCATGTGCCCCTGAAGTCATCTTGCGTCATTTAACGATAATATTACCGTAATATTATATAATATAATAAAGATGTTTCGTTGTTGATTTTTTGAATTTTTTTAACATATTCGCGATTGAAAAATTAAATTTATGCGTTTTTATAGACGTGCCATAATATTTTTCTCAACCACAATAAAGAAAAACCCACAAAAAATAACGTACAGATTTAATTTTTTATCGAAAAAGTTTATCTATAGATACGGTATTTTTTAACATAAAAACATTAAAAATACCCGATTTTATAATGTTCAGGTTAAGTTTAATGCATTTGTATGTGGTAAGCATTTTGGAAAAAAGAAATCTTCAATCGGGACCAATTAAAAGATTAATTGGAATATACATGAAAGGCTTAAATGCTTTAAATCATATACATATGCTCTTTTTAAAAATAATCAAAAAAATACAGGGTTTTATTTAAAAAATGGCATTTTGCTGGAATCACCCTGTATATTAATGGTTATGTTGTTTACTTAAAGTGATACTGTTCTGTTTGCTCGTACATTTCTAAAGATTTTAATATTAATATAATTATTATTCCTTATTTATCTAATATAATAGGAACACCAAAATATTGTGAAAAGATTAAAGAAATTATATATCGTGATTTGTTCTGTGTATAAGTAAATGGATTATTTATATTCTAAAAAGATATTGTAATGTTATGTTTCTGCATTACATTTTTTTAAACGTCTATAGCTGTCTTAATCTCCTTGAAATATTTTCCCAATTACGTCTTAAATCCCCCTCTTAGTAAGTAAATTTTATTATCGTTGAGTCAATGAAAAGTTAATAATAAAAATAAAGTTTTATCAGAGTTAGTTCACGACATGATAAACTTAATAGTGCTTGTTCTTGTTTTAACCACTTGCAATACATTTGGTTTGGTAAGTTTTATTTTGTATTAATATTATAAAGACTTTATAACATACCAAAGTTTTTTTAGAAAACCTTGCAAGTCAAAAACCTTGCCATATCAAAATGTAGTCAAAATAACTACCCCATAGAGGTAGTAAATCTTAATATAGTCCTAGAAAATTCCAAAGCAAAGGTTTCTGGAACTTTGTACTCATCTTTGGATTTAATAAGTCCCATATCAGTAAGTAAAAACACGTTAAATAACCAGTGTTGAAGTTAATTTTTTTTAGGCAGAAGTACATGTAAAAAGGCGCGTACTAGGTATGTGGATACCTTTACCATGTGTAGACTTAATGGGGTCCTGCAACTACCTTGATTTGTGTAAATATGGTGTGCCGCAAGAAAAAGAATGTGACAGAACATTCAAAGAAAATAAAGTACCCTGTAGATGCCCTATAGGCAAGGTAAACATATTTGAATATTATTTTAACAGGTGTCCTACAAAAAATTATTTCAGGGAAACTATACTATAAATCCCACCATAGACTTAAAACCAACAAAGTCAATAGTGAATAATGTGGAGACTGGAAGGTATAAAGGGAGTGCCACAGTAAAAATCAACAAGGATTTACTAGCCTGTTACAATTTTAATTTTGAGTTATTTGAGGAGAAAATCACAGACCCATCAGTAAATATTGTATAAAACTGTTGTGGTATTTTTAAATAGTATATTTTTGTTGGGTTGGGTGAAACAAAATTGCATTGATATTAAAAATGTTACCCTGCTTTTAAGTCAGTTATGGTTTTATAGTTTGTTATTTTAAAACCCTGTAACTTCTACCAAAAAACACTCAGCTTTGGTAAAATTTACAAAAAATATGCTCTTTGAAATGAAGTTTTAAAAAATGGCGTATTTTTGTTGATATACCCCTAAATACTGAAATAAAAACCAAATGTTAAATATAAAACAATATTTATTACATAGTCATTTTTATTAACATTTAATAAAATATACTTTTATGTACTCATGCGTTTTTTCTTTCCCTTTTTCTTTTTACTTGGAGTGTCTTCCACTTCTGTGGCTCCATTATCCTGAAACATCCTTTTTTCTCCGCTGAAATCAAAATTACTCTAATGTAGTCTCACTACTACTAAAATATCAAAAATTATATTTCCAAAAAACAATATTAGTTATAAAATACCTTTTAACTGAAATCAAGCTTTTCTTTCCAGACTTGTTGGTTAAAACTTTGTTCCATTCATCCTCAGAACCTTTGATAGCAAATTGGGCCAAATTCTCATTCTTCAACTTCTCCAATTCTTTCTTCTGTTTTTTCTGTAACACTTTAGCTGCTTCTTCCAGCTCATCATTCATACTTTTGGCTACTGGTAGCATAGAAACATCTTTTCTAGGTACCAAAGATTTCTCAATATCCTGCTCCAAAATTGCGTTCAAATATTGAACACATCTCCTTATCAACCTATTGAACAACCCCAATAGTTGTGAAGCTGGTAAATCCAATTCCTGGGCTATACTATCCACTGTTTTGTGTTGTAAACCTATACCCAGCAATATAGCCTTCAAAAATATAAAGTTAGTGATTTTCTTGTTTCTTATTGTGTTTTGGTACTCACTGATTGCACTGCAGACATGGTTACATCCCCCATTTGGTTTAAGAAGTAGATTTTCGCCAGTGAAGGCATTAAATCAATTATCAAGTGATAATCAACCAAATTGTTGCTGTACATTTCCAGTCTTTTCAAGTCGTATTTTGTTAGGTACATGTTTAGTTCTTCTTTTGTTAAATCTGAAAAAATATTTGTAGTGTTTTTTCTTGTATACCCTGCAAATTTTGTTGAAATTGCACCGATATTAAGTTATGGGTATATTTTGCAAGAAAAAAATGGCCAATTTTCAAAGCCGTGTAACTTCTTATTAATTTATTAAATTTTAATAAAATTCACAACATATACTAATCAAAATGTACTTTTTTCAAAAATATTAACAGTTTTTTTTTGTGAAACTAATTTAAGTCGATTTATAAAGACTTTAACGCGACAGTGTACCTCGCTAATTTGTCAACTTTAGCACTCTGTACTTTTTAAAGCAAGTACTGAATTTTCATAATATTTTCAGAATATATTAACTGAAATATAGTTTTTTCAAAAATACCAACACTTTATAAATAAATCATTTTTTCCTCGAGTTATGCGTATTTTAGTGTAATAACGTACCTCTAGCTTGCACCTTCCTAGACTTATTATTGATCATACTCAAGGCTAACCCAGGCGTAAACTTGTTAAACTGGTAGCCCAGCAAACTAGTAAACCTTCTTCTGAAATCAACCCAGTAAGCATTCAACCAATCTTGATCCGCCACTCTATCCTCTGAATTCAAAACGTTTATCATAATGCAAGAATGCTCCCCTGTCAAATCATTAGTAGTTTGTCTTAGGTAAACCGGGATGTACTTCGATTTTTTCCAAAACTTTAACAGTTGTTCTGTAAGCCCAAATGACACGCCTAGGTAGTCAAGTTTTTCCGGAGGTCTTTCGCTTAGTTTTAGAAGTAGAGGGGGTAAGGATTTGCGAGGTTCTATGCTTTCTTCTAAAAGACCCACTTCTGATTCTTCTATGTTTTCTATGTCTTCTCTAGCTGGAAGTTCTTCTTCAATGCTTGGGATTTTGTATTCGTAGTATTGTTGGAGGATGTTAAGAGCCCTAGCACCATAACCCATCTAAAATGTTTTAAATTGTTGATATGGCTACAGAATATATGAGTGCTGTATACCAACAATTTTAAAGCTTTGTAAAATCCACAAAAATGAGTTTTTATAAAATAGTAAATAAAATGTGTTTTTTCTAAAAATATTAACACTTTTTAGAAAATTATTTTTACTGTAGTTAAAACGAAATATTTGATTTAACTGAAATTGTAATAATAATACCAACAGTAAAATTAAAGTACTTACCCCTTGATAGTCCGGATGGGTGGCGATCCTGACAACCCTAGCACCTGCCAGTTTAGGAAAATCTGGGTCTTGATACTGTTGCCCTATAGTCCATGGTATTAAATCGCCAGAAGCCCTTTTACCCCTTGAAAAACCCTCAACGACGGAACTTTTCGAAATTTGACCCTCCAAGCAAACTTGCACAATGACAAGAACTTCTGGTAGTGTTTTCTTGTTTGGGTCTACAGGACCCAGCAGGCAAAACAAATGATGAGCTGGCGCGTCTGACATCATTTGTAAGTCGTTTGGGGTGTTCTAAAATATTCTCTGTGGTTTTTTAATTTCAAACAAATGTAGGTATATCATACCTTGTAGTGTGAAGCTACATATAAGGCTACAAGTCGTTGTAAAAACTCCTCTGAAGCTTTATGGTAACAAAACAGTGTGTCCCTGTTAATGTAATATAAATCACAGTTGTCCGGCGGTGGACATCCTGATAGAAGAGGAGCCACAGAAGTCGAATCCAGACATAGTAATTTTGTTAACCAAGCCTCAACATCATCATCAGGCTTATACCTTATAGACTCATTCAAGGTAACCTCATTTAATGTTCTCCCCGTCGCAGCTCCGGTGTCTTTTTTCGTGTTAGCGTTGGCACCAACAGGTGCAGCTTGCGTTCGCAGCTGTTGTAGCAGCTTCAACGACAGAGACCTGCCGGTACCTTCGTAACCGTTGATTGTTGAAGCTAGAAACACCAAATAAGGCCCTAGCATGGCTTTAACGTACGGTAGGGGAATAGCTGCAGCTTCGTCTATGACTAGAAGCTCGGCCTGGGCGAGTCTATGTGCGTCCGTGGGGTGAATGTACTAAAAGAAATGTTAGATTTTTATTTAACATTAATATTAATTGTGATCTGTTTGTTACATTTAGAAGGTTTTAAAGTTAATTAAAATGTATATGACGTTAAACATTTTAAATTTAAAAACCATTCTGAAATATGGTTTTGATATTCTAAAAAGTGTTTTTGAAATACATATTTAAGAATTTATTGTCATCGCTTTAACAATTCTTCGGAAATTTTGACATTTTAAAACATTCATTTTTTATCTAGACTGAGGCAACGTTGCAAATTTAGGGTTTTGGTTGGTAAATACAGTTGTCAAGTTGGGTTGGGTTGAAATTCGTAGTTAAAAATGCAATTAATTTGGCTTTGGTGGTGGATGAGTAAAATCATATAAAAAAGTAGTTAAATATAGGTTGCTTTACAGCCCAGAAGAGAAAATATTCCTAGCGGATAATAATCCTCGCTTTGAAAAGAATTTATATAAAAGAAATTAAAATTTTTTGTGAACGTAAATGTTGTCCAATGGTGAATAATGTGAAAATAATGTGTGATGTAATATTTATAAAACCAAATTCGTTACTTTTTTACCCCAAAAATGTCCATAAGGCAATGTACTTTTTCTTCCATTGTGGAATTTGGCATAATTTCATCAAAATGCAGTTTTCCATCAAAAGGGCTTTTACATTCGAATTAGTTGCTATTATTTTTGGAATAATTATCTTTTTATTTATAATTGACAAGTAAATTATCAATAATAAATAGTATTGTCAATTTGACAGTGTCAAAGTATTTAATTAAATTCTTTAGCAGAACTACCATTTTAAATACTAAAAATACTAAGTCAAACTGGCATAAGCCACCAACCTAACAAAAAAACATGAGTCCAGATAAAAAAAAATAACTTTAGATAATATGTCTAGTTTTGATTTTGACATGCTATGCTCAGAAGTATATAGCATTCTTAAAATAGGTTTTTGACATTTTAAGTTGTGATTTTAACATATTTCCTAGCAAAAAGCTTTTTCCTAGGAATTTTAAGATTATTAAATATGCTTTTAAAATTCTTAAAATAGGTCTTTGACATTCTAAAATGACAAACTTTAAGATTTTGATATTTTTATTTTAATTTTATCTAAAAAATTGTTTTTAACATTCTAAAATAAATTTTTGACATTTTTAAATAGATTTTTAACATTCTAAAATATGTTTGACATTCTTATGTCAGGCAGAAATTTTCAGATTAAATGTGATTTTAAAATTCAAAAGATTGTTTTTAAAATTCTAAAAAAGGTTTTTTACATTCTGAAATAGGTATGTTTGAAATTCTTAATAAAAATATTTGAGAATTTTGAGATACTTAAATATGATTTTTACATCCCAAAATTTAGATTTTTAAATATGATTTTGACATTCTCAAAAGTATTTAGGGCGTTGTTAAGTAATTTTAAAATTCGAAACATTATTTTTGAAATTTGTATGTCCAGACAAAAAAGAATTTTAAGATTCTTAAATGTGATTTGGCATACTAAAATATGATTTTGACATTCTAAAAAAGGTTTTTGACATTTATAAAATGGATTTTTGACATTATCAAATATCTTTGACATTCTTATATCCAGAAAAAAATGGAATTTTAGATTTTTAAATATGATTTTGACATTCTCAAAAGTATTTTGGGCATTTTTTAGTAATTTTGAAATTAAAAAAAAATATTTTTTACATTTTTATATCCAAGCAAAAAGGAATTTTGAGATTCTTAAATTAGATTTTCACATTCTAAAGTAGATTTTTGACATTTTTAAAATATGTTTTTGACATTCTAAAATATCTTTGACATTCTTATATTAGAAAAATTAAATTTTGAGATTTTTAAATATGATTTTGACATTTTAAAAAGTATTTTCAGAATTTTCAAGTAATTTTTAACCTTAAAAAATTATTTTTGACATTCTAAGGTTTTTGACATGTATTTATATATTTTTTAAAGTTATTCTTAAAAAAAAGATTTAAACCTTAGCTTTATAACAACCTAAATATATCTAAACAAACTTACTTGTATAGTTTGCCGATGATCCCTAAAAATATTAACCCTAACTATAGCCTTATTAAACTCAGGGTTAGTACTTTGCACCAGACCATAGTCAATATGTTCCTGATACTCCAAAGCATCAAAACCCTTAAAAACAAACTCAAAGAAGGTGTTTAAATTCTCTGGACTCGGACTCGTAACAAAAATGTTTGAGTAACCAAAAGCAACAGCTGCAGCTACTGATAATCCTAAAGCTGCTGATTTACCGCGCCCTCTAGAGGCTGTAAGTGAAACTGTAGATCTTAAACTTTTTTCCGATATGGCTTCAATAAATTTTAACAATGCTTTCCCTTGATCTAGAGTTTTGCAGCAGTTTATTAAGTTTCCAACAGGTTGTGTATCTCGGAGTTGGTTTTTGAGGTCTGTTAACTCATTTTCACTGACAGTTGCTTCTTGTGAGGCTTCCACAGGAGTTACATGTAAATTATGTGAGGATATAGGCAGGACAGCTAACTGATCATCGACCACCAAACATCTTTTACATGAGGCCAATGATAGTAAGAATCTCTCGTTAAAACGACATACAACATCTTGATGGGCCTCTGTGCGGAATCTTTGATGCACATCCATGCTCATTGTGTATAATTGTTTTAGAGAATTAACTGATCTAAGTAGTAAAACTATTAAACCACCCCCCTCTACAGTTTCTATAGTTCTAGCCAATAAATTTGGTGTGAGAGCCTCGAAATCTTGCAAAACACACATACCATAAGTATTACCGAGAATCTTGTGAGTTTCTGAGTAATAACAATACCGTATCTTCGTAGACGACAAAAACAACTCAAAAGGATCATCTTCATTAACACTCAACTTTCCAGCTTGTAATTTATGCTGTAAATGCTTCATTCTCTTCTTTCTGTGACTGCTAAACCCTAATTCCTTCTTGTAACACCACAATACCGACGGTCTTGCCTTTACTTCGGCCTTTGAAAGCATGTGATGTAAAATAACAACCTACAAGTTTAAATTGCAGAAAACAGCTTAATTTACGTTAATTTTCTTACCTGATCCCTTCCTTTATCGCCCACGATGGCCAGCAACGTCCTGTGCCCCAATTTAACCCCATTTTCTATGAGAACGCGGATTCTGTTGTCGATTTTCTTACGCACCATTTTCGCACGTGTGTGTTTATAAAGATTGTGGGGTTATGTATGACAAGTTTGCTGACTAGCGGATGGCGACAGTCGGTCATTATTAAGTTGACAGTGTTGCCGGTTTAATCAAAATAGAAGAAACGTCAAGTTAAAACTAACCTACAAAACAACAAAATGGTAAATGATTCAATCAAATCATAAAAGTATTATTTGTACTAAAAATTTGTTATTTACGTTAGAAATAATTCAAAAATCGTTGAGTAATTAATTTTATTTTAGGTTAATATACCAAACTAACCCAAACTCAACAACCCAACCCAACCGACCCCGCCCCATTGGGCCCCTCCCGCCCCATTGTCACAATCCAGCCTGCCGTTAGATATATTATACCTCTATTGCTCAATGGGGCGGGAGGGGCCCAATGGGGCGGGGTCGGTTGGGTTGGGTGGTTAAGTTTGGGTTGGTTTGGTATAGCACAATGCAGTGTACATGCATAACCAAGATGACAGCTATTCGTCATAACCTTGAGGAATACTTGCTACATTTAGCCTCTAGTCCAATTATTACTAGATTAAACCGGCAACACTGTCAACTTAATAATGACCGACTGTCGCCATCCGCTAGTAGTTTACTGTAGCTACTAGCTAGACAACCACCATTACATTTAATTTATAGATTAAATAAGTACGGTTTTATACATTTATTTCTGGATTTATGCATCAAAATAATGAAATGTTGTATATGGATTAAATAACTATAAAAATCTTATAATATTTATCGTAATTGGAGTTTTTGAAATTTTCCGGTTTTAGTGTTTTTGTTGTTTCGAAGGTTGACTTGGGGACATGTCTAAACTTTAAACGTTTGTATTAAAAATTATAGGTTTGTTCTATAAGCTTGTTTTTAAATACTTAACTATAAATAATTTTCCTTAAATTACCAGAGACCACTGATATAACTCTAATCTGTATAGGTATTTAACTAAAATTAAAACTAATTCAAAATGTTATAGGCAACCATTTACGGTAATATGTAACATGCGTTGCCTATGTTAATATTGTAAAATTGCATTTTTTACACAAAAATTATCAATATTTATTTGCATTAATGTTTGTTTGATTTGAAATGATTTAGAGGATTATTAAAAAAAATTAAATTGATATCAAATAAAGAAAAGTGTAAAAACTTATTAAGAAGACGTATCCGGGTAGTGGGGGTAGTTCAAGATGTCTGACGTTTGCGAGACAAGGAGAGAAGTAGGTGCGATTTGCGAGAGTGACAAGAAAAAACGAGTAAACCAGATGTTAATGGTTGGTTGGAAGATAATCGTAGAATTTTTCGTGTTATTTTAAGTTGGTGCCCGGTTTATCTGAAAGAATAACAATAAATTAATCTCGTTAAAATAAGTAATGTGTTAGAGAGAGTGTTGTTTAGTTAGTATCGCTAGTGGAGTAGTGAATAGTGTATTAGTTAAAATGGCGATTTGAAGAGCAATGGTGGACATATGAAATTTAGTGATTTTGGTTGAGACAGAATGGAAGACAACACGCTAAATCATCAAAACGGAGGACAAATGGGGCCCCAGGGCGGATCGATGCCCAGCAACAAACAAATCGAGGAGCAAAATCCCAAAGCCCAGTATTCCATTCCTGGAATACTACACTTTATACAACATGAATGGGCTAGGTTCGAATTAGAAAGATCACAATGGGAAGTCGATAGGGCAGAATTGCAAGTAAGTTTTCTTCACCAACCAACCAATAATTATTTCATTTGAAAACATCACGAAAATCCCTTTCATTCATTAGTCACCGACTCAATTTTCATTTTTGACTGACAGTTATCAATAATAATTAGGTAGGTATGAATACCGTTTTGATATTTTTGATAATGTGGCGAGAATATTAATTTATTTCCGTGGAGAAACTCGGCAAAACATAATTTGCATTGATTTTTTATGCACGAGCTTTCCTTTAGAACGCCTTTGTGTGTGTGTGGAAATACCTACCTTAATAATTTAGGCAATATCCACTTAAATTACCAACTACCTATTTGGTCTTGTAATTTGCAAAAATTATTAAACCAAATCTATTATGAAAACATCATTGTGAAAATCTATTTTCGTGAAAAAATATCGTTACATTTAAAACGTTTATTATTCAATAGTTTTCACTAAAGTGAAACTATAAAATAAAGTATATCCAGAAACAATTAACCGTCTTTTTTGTTTTATTCATACAATTACTAATTAAAGTTAACAATTTCACAATTTTTACCTTTAAAATATATACCTAAGTAGTATTTTTTCTGTTTGCATGTTTATTTATGAAGTCGTTAAAAATTAATCAAACCCCCATAAAAATATGTGTGAGAATAGCTTAATTTCCAATTATTTGAAGCAATCGCTTATTTTTTAACTGCTCTATTATAAAAACATGATAATTTCATAACTTGTTTTTAAGTTGTTTTATTATTTAGCACCTCTTTTTGTTATCGTAATCCAGTAATTTCTGACGTTCTACTTATCATCAATAGCCTTAAAGATTTAACACTTTTTGCAGTAGATTGGCTTCATTTGAAACCATTCAACACAATAATTCGAGATCATGTGATTAAATAAGCGGCCGCATTGGAAATTGCAAATAAAAATGAAGGGGCACTAATTTATCAATTTAGCGCTGTGCAAATTGAAATTTTCCACATTTTCAAGGTCACCGAATTAAAAAACTCACGATGTAGGTAACTTTAAAAATTATTTTGCTGGAATCTGTAATGTAAAAATTTAAATTATTTGCTAATGTGTCTGATGCCTCTCAAAATCATATATTAAATTTTAACTTTTTATGATTGAAATTTCTACACTTTACCTACTTACCAATATTCATCATTCAGATTAAAAAAAAATATATAAAAATTTTAAAATCTTTTCTATGCCATAATTTTGGACATTTTAATTTAAAATTCCTTTATCTTAAAATCATACAAAACAAAAATACTCACCAAATAAAGAAAAAATGAACCCTACTTTTGTTTTACAATTTTTATTCTATTGTTATAATTTTTATTGTATTTATTGTAAATAGCTTATGCTAATAATAAAGATATTTATTTATTATTTATTTATTTAGTAAATATAAAAGTATTGGACACAAATTAATAATAAAACAAACAGCTTTTCATTAATAGTTTTATAATTTATAAAACGGCATTTTAACATCACTTTTTAGTAAAAAGTTTTACCAATTTATAATAATGCCAACTTCAGCCGGTTACTAAAAAGCCCAAAAGCCACCGTTGCTAACTTCAGCATGTGATTAAAACGCCATTAGGCCAGCTCGTCAATGCGAGAGTGTTTAATTAAATGAATGTCTAGAAAAGTTTATAAACGAGTTGCATACTACCTATACTTTTCTACAACAAATACTTATTATTATCTAAAAATGATTAAAATGAAATACTTATCTATATAAAGCGACATCTATAAAACAATAGACTTTAAGTTAGTAACTTGGGAATCTCTATTACCGGTCGACGGTTAAAATTTCAAATGCATTCAAACTTTCAAATATTCGCGTTGAGAAAATATCTAATAGGTACTTTGTAAAAAAAAATTCACTAAATTATCGTACGTGTTTCCATGACCGTTTAAATACACATTGAAAAGTTGTGGCTTTATGGCGCTTTAGTCACACGAGCTAAAGTTAGCAATAGGTTTTTAGTCACGGGCTGAAGTTAGTCTTAAATTAGTTGGCAGTTGTCAAATGTCATACAATCGTTAAAATAAAGTGCCTTTCTTGTAAAATAATACTAAATGTGAAAATTATTGTATTAAGTTTCTCATCATCAATACAAAAGTATTAAATAGTTTCTTGACACCAATATTTGAAAAGATTATATGAACGTTTGTACTGACTGACCTTTTGATTTCGCAGTGCAGTTAACTGGATTTAACTGATAGAGCGTTAAAAATTTAGCGTACAGTGCCCATAAAACATTCTATTCTCTTTTACTGTAAAAAACTAATATTAGCAGATACGGTAATTCCATATTGACCGTGTGGCAACACTGATTGTGACACAATCATTGTGTAAAGAAAAATAAGATGCGTCACAGTTTTTCCAGGAAAAAACGGAAAATTGGGAAATTTCCAGAAAAATGAACATTTGCACTTTTTCATTTTATTTAAAGGGCAATACGAAAAAAAATAAAAGATTAATTTTTCAATTTCCAAATATGTATATGTGATTATAATCAAAGTTGAAAATTCAGTTTTTTCTTGATATCAGTGTACACTGTAAATATATTTACAGTGTACACTGATATCAAGAAAAAACTGAATTTTCAACTTTGATTATAATCACATAGGTAATACACATTTATAATAATTATTCCTATTATTATAATTCTGTAATAATCTTCTCCCGGGTCGCAAAAAAACAAATTCGCTAGGTTGAAAATACATTTAATCTAAAAGTGCGAACACTAGATTTTTTTTTCATTTGATGATTCCACTAGATCAACCAATCATTTTGAGCCCAAAATTAAAATAGGTTGTAGGTCATCCCTTCTAGGAAATTTGATTTGATTTTTTTTACATAGGTATTTTTGAATATTTTTTTGTTCCTCCAAAAAATTTTAGTACCTATATTTTATGTTGTTAAAATATATTTGTTTATTAACATCCCAAATTATAATATTCCCCAATAAATTATTATTTTCTATGGCAAAAATAAACAGGGCTGTATTTTAGCAAAATTTATTTTAAGTAAAAATATAAAAGTTGATTTTTTATTATTTATTTTAAACTTGTTTTTAATGAACTTATATTAACTTTATAAAGTATACTTATATATATTTAAATTTAACTAAAAGTTATCTTAGCTTAAGTAAAATTAATGTTATTAGCTAATCTGGCCAAACAACGTTTTACTTAACTGAGATTAGTCTCCCTTACGTTTTACTTAACTTAAGGGAGACTAATCTCAGGCTTATTTTTTTTCTTAAACATGCTTTTGGTCTTGCCGAAACTTATTAAACAAATCCTAGAACGATTTTCTTCGCGTGTTTTTCTTTCCCACTGCATTTTAGAAAAAATACTAAGAACTTAAACAACTTAAATGCTTCTATATATAGATCAATAATTGTTTGGTTGCCATGTCAACAAAGTTACCTAAATGGACATGGCCGACTTTTTAAATCAGATTATTTTAGGTAAATCTTAAATTTATGTTTTATGTTTGGTTTATGTTTATGTTTGCCAAAGTTTAATTAAGTTTTAATTAATTTTAATGACATTAATTTTTAAGGTAAATCCATTTTTGCAAGTTAAAAAAAACACATACCTATTTCGAACAAAAATTATTAACATCGATATTTTTTAAGAGTACTACCCTGATAAATTAACTGTTTTATAAAAAACAATTCATTTTTTTGAAATTATTATGATTTTAGTTACATATTTTAAATTAATTTACTACAAAATGAAATTTTGAGTAATATGTAGAATATATTACATTTTTTAAAATTGAAAATTTTGACAAAGACTAAAAAATCTGATTTCTTATTATTTGGTAGTTTCCACATTATAAACCAATAGCAATGTAAAACTTCTACACTAATAAAAAAAATTAAACGATAAATTTTTTTTTGCGATTTTTCGGATTACTGTATCTTTGTTAAAAATGGTCGTATTGGAGCCGTAAAAAATACAATTTGAAGCTTGAAGTTTATAGTTTTGAGATTTTTAGACGTGCAACGGTCAATCCTAACGAATAACGTAATAAAAAAAATCAATTTTTTTTGTTTTATTTTTTGGTCCACGGAATGTTCTGACTTAACCACGAATGAATAAATGTTCTACAAGAATTTGCTATTGTTTTTTGAAAAAAAAAATTTCCATACTCTACATGAATTTGAAAAATCATGAAAAAAGTGCTTTTGGTTGCTTTTGAAAAATCAAGCGCTGAATCAAATATATTATATGTAGTTACTTTTTTTAGGACCAAATTGGCCCTTATTGGTCAAATCGGTGGTTGTGGCGCGTGCATAGCGCGAGACTGTATTTACATTTACTAATTGTCATTTAGAGGCTAATTTTAGTCCATGGAAACATAAAAAAATTGGGCAAATGGGACTAATTTTGAAAAAAAACCTAAAATGTGAAAAAAACCATTTGAAAAAAACAATGAAAAAAAAACCTGAAAAAAAACAAGTTGCATCTCATTTTATTGTGGTGAAGTCTTCCCTAAGGATATTTTTTTTTAAGTAAAATAATGTTAAGTTTTTGATTGTTTTGTATATTTTCGAGAAAAAACAGGAATTTTCTTTAATTTTTCAATTTTTTTTTCGACACTGTAAAACCCTAGTTGCCAGATTCGAACCCAACCCTCTCATTCTAAGGTATAGTGGTATTAATATCTCATGGCGGGTGACCTTGGGCGCGCAAACGTCACAAATCCGTCAAATCGCGCTATTACTCGCCGTCCTAAAAACATACTACCCCAGGGTTGGCAATCAGCTGATATTTATTGACATATTTAAACATATTTATAGGCTAGAAATTCTATTATATTTGTTATAACTAATATTATATTTGTTATAATATTATATTAAATTTTGTTATAATATTATATTTGTTCTATTATTATATTTGTTATATTATATTAAATTTTGTTATAATATTATATAATATATATTTCTTATACGAAATGAATAACGGCAAAAAAGAAGTCATTAATTCGGATTATACACAGATTCTATTCTTTTTTTTTCTGAAATCCATTATATATTTTACAGATCATTGCTCAACAATTGAAGACCTTGCTGCAAAAAGGGGGTAACTTTTACAAAAGTGACTTTTACACCCTTACAACTGTAAACTAGACTATTCTGCATTGTTTAATGCAAAGATGACTCAAAAATAACTTTTATGGAATTACCTCCTTTTTGCAGCAGGGGGTTCAATTGCAGTCATTATCTAATGTTACAATATATTTCATAAAATAAAGAAAAAAACGCTTTACTATATTAATTGACAGATGACAGATTTGGGAAGCATCCATAGACATTTAAGTTAACTTAAAGGTCTATGGAAGTGGCGGATGTTTTTAGTTTCCATTTATTTATTAAATTGAATGGCGTCTGTCAGAGTCTCTCAAGGTCACCCGCCATGAGATATTAATACCACTATACCGAAATACTGATCAATAATTGTTTGGTTGCCATGTCAACAAAGTTACCTAAATGTTAATTAAATTTTTAAATAGATTATTTTAGGTAAATCTTAAATTATTTATGTTTAGTTAAGTTTTAATTAGTTTTAATAAAATTTATTTTTAAGGTAAATCCATTTTTGCAAGTTAAAAAAACACATATTTTGAACAAAAATTATTAACATCGATACTACCCTAATAAATTAACTGTTTTATAAAAAACATTTCATTTTTTTGAAATTATTATGATTTTAGTTACATATTTTAAATTAATTTACTTCACCACAATAAAATATACTAAAATTATTAGATCCCTATGGGGTATTTTTTTAATCAAATTTCCTCAAAGGGATGACCTATGACCTATTTTAATTTTGGGCTTAAAATGATCGGTTGACCTCCTAGTGTTCGTACTTTTGGGTTAAACGTATTTTCAACGTATCGTATATTGATTTATAAAATTATAATTTTGTAATTTAACTTTATAAATCATTAATTATTTTGTAAATGGATATTTTTTTTAAATTAAAATAATGTTAAGTTGTTGATTGTTTTGTATACAGGGTGAGTTTTAAGTTGACGCGTGTAGAAATCAGATAGACAAATAAATATTTAAAGTAACTTTTTTATCAAAACTCAAAAATAAGAGTTATAGCCCTTCAAAGTTTAATTAAATTTTGAGCCGGTCCTGGCTATTGTTAACAAAAAACATAACCATAAAAATAAAATAAACAATGCAAAATGTCATCTATGACAACAAACACAACCATTTAAACCAAAATGACACATTTAGCAATGCCTACAGAAATACTTCAAAAATACCTGAGGGAGCGGATAAATCTTGTAAACAAAACGATTGGCGTATAATCGCGATTTTGACGACACTCTCCATAAATTAGCAACTAATTCATTATTGCTATAATTATAAACCATTTTGAACATTAATTAAGGCACAAAAAAACTTAAGTAAATAATGACATTTTTCATTGCTAAATGTCATTTTAATTTAAATGGTTATGTTTGTTGTCATAGATGACATTTTGCATTGTTTATTTTATTTTTATTTTTTGGTTATGTTGGTTTTTGTTAACAATAGCCAGGACCGGCTCAAAATTTAATTAAACTTTGAAGGGCTACAACAAAGATAATATCTTTGGGCTACAACTCTCTTATTTTTGAGTTTTGATAAAAAAGTTAAAAGGAAAGCGTCAACTTAAAACTCACCCTGTATTTGTTATTTAAAAAAAAAACTAACTGCTACTAAAGTACCTGATATGGAAACCTGTATTCTTTTAAGGTTTAATAAATAAATAAAAAAAAATGTGTTATCCCTAAGGATATTTTTTTTAAATTAAAATAATGTTAAGTTGTTTATTGTTTTGTATATTTTCGGGAAAAAACAGGTATTTCCTTTAATTTTTCCGTTTTTTCTTTCGACACTGTAAAACCCTAGTTGCCAGACTCGAAGAAATAAATAATGATTGTGTTTCCCTCAGGCCCGCATAGCCTTCCTGCAGGGCGAACGCAAAGGCCAGGAGAACCTCAAGAACGACCTGGTGCGCAGAATCAAGATGCTCGAGTACGCGCTGAAGCAGGAGCGCGGCAAGTTCCACAAGCTGAAGTACGGCACTGATCTGCAGCAGGGCGACATGAAGCCGCCCGTCATCGACGAAGGCTTCGATTCGCAGCTCGACACCGACCAGTCGTACGTGTCGGTGCCGAACTCGACGTGGAAGCAGGGCCGGCAGCTGCTGCGGCAGTACCTGCAGGAGATCGGCTACACCGACCGCATCATCGACGTCAGGTCGACCCGCGTCAGGGCGCTGCTCGGCCTCAACAACAACAACGCCGAGCAGGAGGAGAACCTGAACGGCGGCGGCGGCGGCGTCAACGGGAACGACAGCAACAAGCGCGCCAGCGACACGCAAGGTAAGAGCTGCAAGGAAACGAGGTTGTTCTTCAGTAGGACGAATTTCGGTTCACTTTGCCGTGTTTGCCATAAATGTTATACACTCACGTGCGAAATAATCGGATCCACACAAATTTTCGATGAATTTCAATCGCAAATAAGTAGAGATGGGAAAATTCCCATTTGACGAAAATTCCCGGAAACTTTCCATCGAAAATTCCCGAAATTTTCCGAAAGTTTCAAAAAAATATTTTTTATTACGAAAATATTTTTTTATGTCAGGGATTTGCAAAAATATATAACACATTAACTTTTTGTCAAATTTTATTAAGAAAAAAAATAAAAATAAATGTTTATAAGAATGTAACTGCAATAGTATTTTTAGCACAATCCACACATTGTGGATTGTGATTTTTAGTATCTTTTACTTTGGAATATTCCTATTGTATACTGAAACCTACAAAATAAAAATAAAATGTTTACTATTAGAAATTCACTGCTAGTAAATCCTAGATAGGTATTACGTAAAAAGATTTAAAAGGGACAAAGTAACTAATATATAGGAATATTGAAAAGTAAAAGATACTAAAAATAGTATTGCAGTTCCGACTGATAAAATATAAAAGAAAAAATTACAGGCAAAATAAAATTAACATTTCTGACTAGTAGTGACTACCATTGCACATAAAAAATAGCAAAAGTAAAAAACACAAAATAGGATTTTTTTAAAACCAAACAGGTAAATAAAAGTGTTATTGCTGTATTTTAGTTTAGTTTTTTGTGAAGATGCTGAATAATCCGGCTTCATTGAGGTTATGTAACATAACTTACATTATTTATACTTCTTCTTTTGCTTTAAATTAACACACATTAAATTCTTATTCAAAGTTTCTTTGCCTTGTATCATGGCCTTAACGAAAATCAGCGGTTAAACAATAATTGTTGACATTTAAATGAAAAAAACAAGGAAAGTTTCCAAGGAATGTTTCCGGTAGCTTAAAAGAAACTTTCAAAATGAAAATAAATTCCCAATTGGAAACTTTCCAAAACGGAAAGTTTCCTTAAAATGGAAACTTTCCGATTCCCATCTCTACAAATAAGTGCTCATTCATAATGGACGTAACCATAAGATGCCCGTAAGAAATACGTAAAACGTAAAGTTGAACATTAACAAAACCAGTGTGCCTGTTTATAATGAATAGCCGTAATTTTTACGTTTTACGTTCGAACATAAGATCTTATGGGTGACCGTAAAAAATACGTAAAGTTGAAATCATCTCAACTTTACGGGTTTCTTATGTGTGAATTTTAGTAACTTTCATGATTTCACTAGAACATTGTTGGTAGCAATCAGGGTAGTAGCCATGCAAACAGATGACAGATCTTTTTCAAGTGTATTCTGGTGTATCCACAGAACAAACAATCTAAAGAACCATTAATTATCCTAAAGTTTTAGTTCGAGTATTATTCGACGAAATTCGCCCTTTTTTTCTTCTCTTTGCCAACGTATATATCGCTCATTACACTAATAATTATAATAACACTGATAGTTTCAACTTAATTTATATTTATAATAATTATAATTATTATGTCTTAAAACTTTTAAGTTTTAAGACATAATAATTAGACGAAATCTGTCAATGCTGGCATTTTAGTGAACTTGGACATGCGCGCCTTATTAATATATACATAAGGCATATGTTCATTATATACACAACTCATCGTTACGTACAAATTATGGTGATATTATGTTTACGTTTACGGGCATCTTATGGTTACGTCCATTATGAATGAGCACTAACTTTTTTATTTGATGTCGGATTTAAACAAATATTAAAGAATATTGTAGATAAATTAATGGACAATCGCTCACATTTTAAAAAAATACTAAAAAATAGACGTACGTTTATAATATACAGGTTTAAACAAAAATATGTTTTTTACCATAAGTTTAAGACACTCTGTAGAGTGGCAAAACCGTATATTGTTTTAAATTAAGTTTTATTTATCAAGTCACATCTATTCCTAACAGTTTTGTTTTTGGTTCACCTCGATATATTTATTTTTGCGGAAAATAAGGATTTTTCAAAAAAACATTGCAATTTCCAATATTTTTCTGTATGAAGAACTAAGGTTGCTATGGTCCATTCATAGGCTATGGAGAATGACAGTGACAGTTTTGTTGAATCATCCCATACTTGGACATGTCATACACGGCTTTCAAAAGCTATCAAATCGTTTTTTGCAAATTAATGTTTAAATTTTAAGGTGGTCTTATATAAAATGGATATGTCTCCGACTGATGTTGCCAAAGCTATTAATTTAATCCAGGATGGACGGTCACAATATTACGTGGCAAGTGTTTTAAACGTCATAAGAAGTAAAGTACAAAGGGCAACATCAGTCGGAGACATTTTTAAAAGTAAGAAGACACCTCAAAATTAACACATTAATTTACAAAAAACAATTTGATAGCTTTTGAAAGCTGTATATGACATGTCCAAGTATGGGGTGATTCAACAAAACTGTCACTGTCATTCTCCATAGGCTATGGATGGACCATAGCAACCATAGTTCTTCATACAGAAAAATATTGGAAATTGCAATGTTCCAAAATCCATATTTCCACAAAAATAAATATATCGAGGTGAACCAAAAACAAAACTGTTAAGAATAGATGTGACTTAATAAATAAAACTTAATTTAGAACAATATACGGTTTTGCCACTCTACAGAGTGTCTTAAACTTATGGTAAATAACATCTTTTTGTTTAAACCTATATATTATAAACGTACGTCTATTTTTTAGTAGCTTATAAAGGTTATTGTTACTTATGTTTAGTAACACTATAAAACACAACTTTTCTAACTAGACGTAACAGGAATATTATGGGAACCAATATATAACTTCTTAAAGAATTGTTACTGCCTTTTTAGTTTTTTTAATATTTCTCTCTCCCTCAGGGGCTCTTATTGTCAACTTTTACATCAAAACCGATTTAAAATGCGTATTCAGATATCTGCAAAACGTATTATTTATGTTAATTCGAAACGTCCTTGAATTCGAAAAAATCGTTCAAGCAAAATCTATACAAGAATACCGTTAATTTCTCTTTTTTTACTATCTTTAAGATTGTTGTGGACGGTTGAAAAAATATGTGTTTAAGTTTAACCTAGTTTGGATGTGTTACGTTAACGAACGATTATTGGGTTCGATATTTCTTATCGTCGAAAATTTGTTTGTTGTTTCTATAAATACATATAGAAACTAGCGTATTTTATTACAATTTTATTACAATAATTACAAATAAAATGATGCGGTTATTTTCAACATTGTAATCCCCAGTTTTATCGCACTTAAAACAATTTTTATATAAATCTTATTTTTTTTTAATTTGAACTTATCTTAACGTTTTCTATTTGTCAAACCCTTTCATTGGATAAACACGCACCTAAAACTCATAAAATTCCTAAAATTTGGCTTAAATCTTGAAAACTCCTAAACTGACATAAATTTTCTAAAACCCCTAAAAATTAAATATAAATGGGCCAACCTGACTGCTTTTAATTAAGGTAGTTGTGCTAAAAAAAATCTTTTTTAATAATTAATTTAAAAAATATATATTTTTAGGTTCTAGTTTATTAAATTAATTTTAAAATGATACATCACAACCAAGATTTTTCTTAAAAATAACAAAATATTCATAAAAAACAAAATCCATAGCTCCTAGACTTCTACAAAATTGTCATTTTTAGGCATGTTTTGTTTGTTTTAGACAAAAATATACAGGATTTTTCATTTTCTTTTAAATTATAGCTAAAATAGTAAACAATATAAAAAATGTTTTGTTGTATTATGCCAACTTTATATTTTTTCTATTATGAGATTTTTGAGTATTAAGATACACATTACAAATATTGTAAAACAACTCTACACTAAACTTTAAAAAAATAAGAAAAAAATAATGAATTCTTTTTAACAATAATATAAATAAATATCACTTCTTTTGTTGAAATAGGTTACATTGACTAGTTTTTTAGCCAAATCTATCGACACGTTTTTTTAAATAAAATTAAAAGTGTGGTGAAATTTCTACTTGTCTTCCATTCACTTTTAATTTTATTTAAAAAAAAAGTCTAGCGGTTTGGCTAAAAAACTAGTCAATGTAACTTATTTGTACAAAAGAAGTGATATTTATTTATATTTTTGTTAAAAAGAAATCATTATTTTTTTTTTTTTTTTTAAGTTTAGTGTAGAGTTGTTTTTATTTAATTACAGAAATTCATTTGCATACTTTATGTCTCCTAAAATTCTCCAAAAAAACTTCTAAATTACTAAATAAAATTTGTAATTTAGCCGTGGGAGCCTTGAATCCTCCATATTGCAGGGATCCCACCTCCTCATAAAATTCCTAAAATTTGGCTTAAATCTTGAAAACTAAAATTCTCCTAAAATTGCCATCAATATCCTAAAACTCCTAAAAATTAAATAGTGCAAAAAGCGCTAAAAAATTTCTTTTTTAAAAAGTAATTTAAAAATATATATTTTTAGGTTCTAGTTTATTAAATTCTTTTTAAAATTATATATCACAACCTACATATTTCTTAAAAACAACAAAACATACCTAAAAAACAAAATCCATGTAGTAGCTTCTAGATGGATTTTTTTAGGAATATTTTGTTGTTTTTTAAGATAAATATATCAAACAAGGATTTTTTTAATGATAGCTAAAATAGTAAGCAATTTAAAGAATGTTTTGCTGTATTATGCAAAGTATATTTTTTCTATTATGAGATTTTTGAGTAACAAGATCCACATTACAATATTGTTAATTATTAACTAAACGGTTAACATTTTTTTTCTCAAAATATAAACATAGCATCATTTGACTTTGGCCTAGTTTTTTAGCCATATCTATCGACGCGTTTTTTTAATAAAATTAATAGTGTGGTGAAATTTCTACTTGTGTATATACCTCAGATATATAAAAAAGTAGTTGGTTTACCACACTTTTTTTATTAAAAAAAATTCGTCGAGCGATTTGGCTAAAAAAACTAGTCAATGTAACCTATTTGTACAAAATAAGTGATATTTATTTATGTTTTTTTTTTAAAAAGAATTATTTATTTTTTTCTTATTTTTTATGTACAGTGTAGAGTTGTTTTTATTTAATTACATACATTCATTTGCATACTATACAGACTGTATAGGATGACAAATTATATTCTGATCAGAGAAAAAGAAACAAACTTTAATTGGGCGTGGTTTAAACCAAGCCATTCGTAATTACGAACCATAGTTGCCAGGTTGTTTTAAATCAGAAGAGAACGATTATAATTATTTAATAAATAGTTCAATTTTATTTGTTTGAAACTTTAAAAATAACAAAAAAATTAATAATATGTCAAAAATAATTTGATTTAGTTAATTTTCTTACTTTTAATATTAAAAAATAAGAAAAACAACCCTTTTAGGAAACAATAATAGCATGACTCAATGATAATAGGATATGGCAACAGCGCGGCATGCCGCGTATTGTAGCTACACTGGGTAAAGGCCTATTTTGAAATAAAGTTTGTATTTGGCGATATGATCTACCAGTGTGATGCCATACCATAATTTGGTATTTTTCCTCACGGGTAAAAACCATTTTATTTGAGAAAATACTTTTTACAAAGACGTACGCAAAGTCTCAGTGCACTTCTTAAACTGACGCACAGACAGTGTTGCCGGTAGTAGAAAAATTAAAGTACTGAAATGGCAATACAAACGTATTGAATTTGAAAGATAACGTACTGACTTTGGGTTTTCCTCCAATTTTGAGAAATAAATATTAAACTTATATGAACGTAATTTTATTTTGTACTTTATGAATAAACACATGCACATAAATAAACTATAAACATCAAAAGAACAAAATAGATAATTATTATTATACCTATAAAATAAAAACTTTGAAAAAAACACAATATTGTTGGTAAAATCTAAAACTGGAAAACGTACCGAAAATCATCAACGAGGTACTTGCGTACTGAATTCGGTACAAACGTACTGACGCTGGCAACACTGCGCACAGATCATACGACAATGATACGGCAAGCAAACAAATTCAATCCCTACCACAGTGGGCGGGGTTTGGCACTTGTTTTATTTAAGTTTATCTATTCGTTTTAATACACACTGTATTTCTCCTAAAATTCTTCAAAAAACCTCCTAAATTCCTAAATAAAATTTGTAATTTAGCTGTGGTAGCCCTGAATCCGCCATATTGGATCGATATATTTTCATCTCTTACTCAAAACACAGCCACTCATTTCTTACGCCACGAACATACAAGCTAAAATTTAACTCTCGACACGCCAAATAAATAAAAAAAAGTAAAATGTCATCCTGGAGACATCCTGAAACCTATTTGTTGCCTCAGGCCGAAGAACGCCGAACAAAAAGACGCCCGGCTCCCTTGCCGAGGCGATGATGCTCGACACCGAGGCGTCCGTCATGGCCAACTTGGACTTTCTGTCCAACGCCGACGTCGACATGGACGACGACGACGACATGAGCGACGAAGTCGACCTAGAGGGCGCCGACGATATCGAAGACGAGGTCAAGGTCTCCTCCAAACACAACAAAGGTAGGCTTGACAATTCTTTCGCGCTCTTCCGCTCGGAAGACGTCATTTTTGAGTCGAGAGACGTCAAAAATGAGCCCCCACCCTTTGCGCGAGTCGACGCTCCTTTTGTAGTCTTCTTGCTTTATTGCATGGCATTTGTTTTATTAAAATTTAATCTATGATTCATATCTTAATTTTTTTCATTGTGTATGTCAAATCTATATAGGTAGTCAGAGCTGCGAAAGTTACTTCTGAAAAGTATCTAGTTACTTTTCTAAGATACTTTCAACAAAATAACTTAGTTACCTCTGATAACTAGATACTTTGAGTTAAAAGTATATTTAGTTACAAGATACTTTAAAAAGTATCTAAGTTACTTTTGAGTAACTAAGATACTTTTGAGTAACTAAGTTACTTTTAAGTAAGAATATATTCTTACTTTATAAAAACTATAAAATTATGAAAATTCAACAAGTTGTAGGTTAGGTAATTACTTTAGAAAGTATCTAAGTAACACTGAAAAGTATCTAAGTTACTTTAAAAAGTATCTTAGTTACTTTAGTTTACTTAGATACTTTTTTAGATACAAGTTACAAGATACTTTTCCAAAGTAACTAAATTAAAGATACTTTCTGTCCAATATAAGAAGTATCTAAGATAAAGTATCTTAGATACTTTAAGTATCTTTTTTTAAGATACTCCCAGGTTTGATTATGATCTAGATTATATAGTGTAATAAAATAAAATAAAAAGAAGCTATACGCTATAGGGTGTTGATTATTATTTATTGTAGGCACTTTTAGTTATTCTTTTTTTTTGTTTTCTCTTGTAGAAAAAAACGATAATAATTTAGGTTTAGGAGACGACGTGGACGCCATTGCTTTGGAGGTTTTCAACGAGCTAAACCGGCTCTCTGAAACCGAGAAAAAGCAGGACATAAAAACCGAACAGGGCGACTGGAACAAGGGTGAGCAACTAAAATTTGGTGATTTTTTTAAACATTTTGCCAAGTTGGTAGAACGCCTTTAGAGAGTATAATACATGGAGTGCTAATGCCCTGCAGTACAGATAAAATTATATAATTATAAATTAATTTGACGCTGCGAAAGTGCGGCTGAAAGTGGCAACTAATATTTCTACGTCATATAATTATATCAGAAAATAGAATCTTTTAGTTTTGTGAACTATATATATAGAAATAATTTCTATAATAATACAGATAGAAGAACAAAACCCGAATCTCTTCGCATATTGGCTCCAAAGTTGACGTAGATAAATTACGCATAAATACCCAACATTCATTTGAACTACTGCAGTATAATTTTATGTGTACAGATTAACTTAATTCTATAATTTTAATTATAACATATAACATATACATTAATTGCAGTAATTTTATGTGTACATATAAAATTAATTGTATAATTTTTTTATTACAATTAGAGTTATGTGTACACAAAATTAATTTTAAAATAAAAATGATTATCGTGTTATAAATAAGAAATTGCAACTTAAAAAATAAGAGAATAAAATAAAATAGTTTAAAAAAAAATTGTTCAACAATGTTTTTGGTCTCACAATAATTCCAAAATAAATTTAAAGTAAAAAATTTAAATACCTCATACGAAATAAAAATGGACCAAATTGAAATGATGTAAATATTAATTCAACTAACAAAATAATACACTGACCATAAAAATAAACGCATAGTAAGTAAAAAAATTCTAACTCTAAAACGCCTTTACCAATCTATAAAAGTTTGTGTAAAAATACTTATATCTCAGTTTACGTGTTTGAGGGTTTTTCGAAAAAATATTTTAAGGCCCTTTTATTTAATAATAAAAAAACGTTTGAAAAATAACTTTTAGGGGATTTTTTTTTAAGTAAATGAAAAATATGCTGGTAAAGGCGTTTTAGAGTTAGAATTTTTTTTACCTATTATGCGTTAATTTTGAAGGGCAGTGTATGTAAAATGTTTAAATGTTACAAACAAATTAAAATGTATCATAGAAAATAATTTTTATTATGCCTAGAAATAGTTTTAAATAATTATTATGCCTAGACAAAATAATAATTCGCATTTTTTTCTGTTTCCATTAAATTTATGCTTGACATAATTTTATTTCATAATAGTTATTTATGTATTAAGGGCATAATAAGGTTTTTATGGTTCGAGGCGTAGGACCATAAAAACCAGTTATGCCAGCAATGCATACAAAACTTTATGCACGATTAATATATTATTATTTTTAATATATTATTGTTTTTAAAGACGTTTACGTCAAAGATTTTTATAATTGTCATATTATAATGTCAACTGACATCAGTCAGTTTTAAAGTTTAAAGATTAATGAAATTGAGGAAGCAGCTGAAAAGGCGAAAAATTGCGGCCTGCTGCCGGAAAAATCAAAATCTTTATACGAAAAAACTTACTTCGAATATATCAAATGGTGTAACATTGTTGTTTTTAATTTTTGACGTTTCATTATAGCCCGCTGGGTCATAATAACGCCCGCGGGCTATAAAAAGACGTTTACGTCAAAGAATTTTTGTTATAATTGTCATATTATAATGTCATCGTGCATAAATATATATTATGTCAGAAAAAATTGTATATTCCATAATTTTAAAAAACCTACTTAAATTTTCTTTGACATTTAAATTATTTACAGTGAAATGGCGTGCCATAGTTTAGCAATATAATATAATAATAAACGATAACTTTAATAATTTTTGACTGGGAAACCAAAGTTTGGTTTCAGTATAAAGACATTAACAAAGTTTAAAAAAGATTGACCGTTTGGTTACCAAACGGTCAATCTTTTTTAAACTTTGTTAATGTCTTTATACTACAACCTTGAATTGTTTCGACATTTTCTCATAGCGACTAATATCGTTCCCGAACCTCCTTAAGAAATGTAGGAACAAACATTATCATTCCATATTTTATATGCTCTAAGCTGCCTCTCATCCACATTTTATCTCATTCGAATTTTGCTGTTTTATTTTTATTAATTTTTTACCCTTTTTTGCAATGGTAAACGATTAATTAGTGTTTAGACAAATAACAGCAACTTGTCACGTGATAAACTGTCGATTTGACGCGCGTTTTCGGGGAACCCCGCGCCCAGGTCTAACTCGAAACCAACCCGCAGGTTTGAACGACGACGAGAACATCGACTCGTCGCTCGGGCTCGGCGAGCTCGCGCAGCTGACGGTGAACAACGACGCCGAGACCACTTACGACATAGCCAGCAGCAAGGAGGCGTTTCGCAAGACGTGGAACGCCAAGTACACGCTGAGAAGCCACTTCGACGGCGTGAGGGCGCTGGCTTTCCACCCGAACGAGCCGGTGCTCATCACCGCCAGCGAGGATCACACCTTGAAGCTGTGGAATCTGCAGAAAACCGTGCCGGCCAAGAAGAGCGCCTCTCTGGACGTTGAGCCGTTGTACACTTTCAGGTGAGTGAGATTATGCGATTTTTTTATTTCGGTTTTTTAGATATTCCATTTATATGGCTCGATTTTTGATAGTTTTTTAAATTTTAAACAATTTTAAATTTTTTTAAAAATTTCTAATTTTTTGAATTTTAGAAAATTTTCAAAATTTCCAAAATTGTTGAAATTTTCACTTTTATAAAAGAAATGTCATTTTTTCGCAAAATTTCTTTTTAACTTGGGAGATTTTTGATAGTTTTTTAAATTTTAAACAATTTGTAAATTTTAAATTTTTTAAAATTTCTAAATTTTTGAATTTTAGAAAATTTTCAAAATTTCCAAAATTGTTAAAATTTTCAGTTTTATCGTTTTCTACTCTACTTTCTACTCCTTTAGAAGTGAATTTGAAAAAAATTGAAAATTTTGGAATTTTTTTAATATTTTTAAATTCTTGTAAATTTTAGAATTTATGTATATTTTCAATAATTTTATTTTAAACGAATTTTTAAAATTTTTGTAATTTTTCAAAATTTTAATTTATAAAAATTTCGTAAATTTTAAAATTTTTGTAAATTTTGAACTTTTAGAAAATTTGTGTGGAATTTTTTAATAGGTATTTCAAGATATTGAATTTATAAAAATTTGGTAAATTTTAAAAGTTTAGGAGATTTTGGAATTTTTAATATCCTTGCAAATTTTAAAGTTTGTTAATTAAAAAAAATCAGAAGAATCCTTTAAATTTTAAAATGTTTGAAATTTTTTTAAAATCTTGGGAATATTGAAAATTTTAAAAAATTTCTAAATTTCATAAATTTAAATTTTGGAAGTTTTGAAAGTCTTGTAAATTTTATAAAATGTGTAAACTTGAAATTTTTGTTTATTTTGAACGTCTAGGGGATTTTGGAAGTAAATTTAAAAAAATGGAAATTATGGAATTTTTTAGTATTTTGAATTTATAAGAATATTTATTGTACATTTAGGAGATTTTGGAAGTTGTAACAATCTTGGAAATTTAAAAAAAATGGAAATTTTAAAAATTTTCAAGGGTTTGTAAGTTTTTAATATTTTAAATTTATAAAAATTTTGTAAACTGAAATTTTTGGAATTTTCAAAAATTTAGATTTGGAAATTTTCAAAATCCAAGTTTTAAACAATTGTAAATTTTTGAAATTTCGGAAATTTACGAAATTTCTTATCGTTTTCTACTCTACTCTCCTCCTTCACTTTGAAATTTCAAAGTGAATTTAAAAAAAAATTGAAAATTTTGGAATTTTTTAATATTTTTAAATTCTTGTTTATTTTAGAATTTTTGTAAACACATTTATTTTATTTTTCAAATTTTTGTAAATTTTCAAAAATTTTATTACATGTGTAAGATTTTTTTTAATTTAGAAATTTTTGAATTTTTGTAAATTTTAAATTTATTAAAAATTTTGTATATTTTTAAATTTTTGAACATTAATTAATTTAACAAATTTTTGTTAATTTATAAAATTCTGATATTGTTTTTGATAATTTAAAAAATTAAAATTTTGGAATCCAACATTTCCAAAATTGTTGAAATTTTCACTCTTATCGTTTTCTACTCTCTCCTCCTTTCGAAGTGAATTTTAAAAAAAATTAATATTTTTAAATTCTTGTAAATTTTTGAATTTTTTAAAATTTGGGAAATCTTAAACAATTTGTATATTTTTAAATATTTGTAAATTTTTATTTTATAAAAATTTCGTAAATTTTAAAATTTTTGTTAATTTTGAACTTTTAGTAAATTTGTGTGGAATTTTTTGAATAGGTATTTCAAGATATTGAATTTAAAAAAATTTAGTAAATTTTAAAAGTTTACATTTTAAATGCTCAAATTTTAGAATGTTTAAAAATTAAAAAAAAATATTTCATAAGAATTCTGTAAATTTTAAAATGTAATTTTTGAAAATCTTGAGAATATTGGAAATTTTAAAAAATTTGTAAACTTTTGGAGTTTTTTAAAATTTAAAAAATTTAAATTTTTGAAAATCTTGTAAATTTAAAAAAAATGTGTAAAATTAAAATTTTTGTTTATTTTGAAAGTTTAGGAGATTTGGTAAATTTAAAAAAAAATAGAAATTATGGTTTTTTTTAATATCTCGAATTTAAAAGAATTTTGTAAATTTGGGATATTTTGGAACTTCTAAAAATCTTTTAAATTGATTAAGGGTTTATAAGTTTTTAATACCTTTTTTGAATTTTTGTAAAACATGAAATTTTTGAAAATTTATATTTGGAAATTTTCAAAATATTGCTTTTAAAAAATTTGGATTATTGGAAATTTTTGAAATTTCGAATTAATAAGAATTTTGAAATTTTTTTAAATGTCCAACATTTTTACTCACCTGGTCGGACCTTTTCATTTAATTTGATGTCAAGGAGTGCGCCAAATTGGATTTATTTATTTCTCATTTACTCTTAATTTCTTACGCCACAAACAAACAAGCAAATAATATTTATGATATATTATGATCATACGGGTTTCTTTGACAGCTAACTTATTGATGTCTAATTTTTTTGTTAGCTGTGAGCGCGGAACTTCCGATGCAAGGTTAAATTTTACTCCAGAACCCGCCAAAAGAAGTATAACTTTACAAATAAATCTTAGAATGCTCAAAGCAGAGGTGCAGTCAAGGCTTAATAAAGAATTCTAAAAACTTAATTTAGAATCTTAAAAATACTTAAGTTTTGAATATTCCTCGATTCAAATGTGAAGAATATAAAGAACATAAGAAATTTTAGAATTTTAAAACCATATTTTTGGAGGAAAATTTTTTTTTTTTTAAGGTTTTAACTTTAAATTAAAAAATTCCACACGTTTTTGCATAATGAAAATACATTAGAGTAAATAACATTTTTCGTTCAGGTGTCATGCCGGTCCGGTGCTTTGCCTGGCCATTTCCGGTTCCGGCGAGCACTGCTACTCGGGCGGCCTAGACGGCGCCATCAATTGCTGGAACATACCGAACTCGAACATCGATCCGTACGATTTGTTCGAGCCCGACATTTTGAGCAGCACCCTTCAGGGACATTCGGACGCCGTTTGGGGGCTGTCGGTGTTGAACAGCCGGCAACATCTGCTTTCCTGTTCGGCGGACGGCAGCGTCAAGTTGTGGGCCCCACACAGCAAGGTAACAAAAACGCGATATAAACTAAAAACTTTTTGGTAAACGTTCAATTTTATTAGTTTCTTCAAGAAACTCTTTTGACCCAATATTAGTAATATTCATTTCTCATGAATATTACCAAGAAAGTTTCTTGAAAAACTAAGAAAATTTAATTTTTACCTTAATGTTTAGCCTGGTTGGGCTAATTCCTTTAGGCCATATTAGTATCTGAAAATTTGCTGTGCAATCTTGGTTGCATAGTATGTACCGATTGCGGCAAAGGCCACGTCGTTAAGCTAAGTTTTCATGTATCCGTTTGTCCGTTTTTCAATAAAACTTTACCAGTTATCTCTCTAATAAATTTAAAGGTAGGAAAATATACCATATAAAGGGGTCTTTTCTGTAACTTTTTCTTTAAATTTTAAAGTCCTTTTAAATTTTAACGGCAGATTAAATCATTTTGCTATTCACCAAATAAGTTTTCCTTTATTTTTTTTAAGAATCCTGTGGCCCGTTAAAACAATTATTTTAAAGGGGTGATAAAATGTCTTAAAGGAAATAAAAATGGCCTTTTTGATGTTGGAGAAGGCTTAGTAAATGAATTGATTAGAAATGAAGAAAGGTTTTTTAGTCATAGGTCTTTGTAATTTTTGAGCTGAATTTAAGTTGCATCAGAATATTTTTAAGTATGTTTTGGTGTAATTAAGATGTTTTAAGGATAATAATAGATATAATTGGGCAACACATGAAACAATCAAAAAGAAACACTGCAATACCAGTCCACTTAAAAATGTTAGCATGTTTGCATTTTTTTTGGCATGGGCAGTTATTATCAACTTATGCACATTGTTATAGTTTTGCAATGAGCCAACCAAGCATGAGTCAATGTATAACTGAAGTGACAAATATTATAAATAATCACTTATTAGTCAACTGTATTGTGTTAACTCATACCTTGGATGAAAGAAGTAATAAGATTGATGCTTTCATGGAAAAATATAATTTTCCTAGATGTTTAGGGTCGATTGATTACAATTGAGAAGCATACGTACAAAACCGGCTATATCCATTTTGATAAAATGTTGGGAAAATGACAAAAACTCAATAGGTATGTTTTTTTTATCTGTAAAGGCCGTTTTGCCATTTTCCCAACATTTTATTAAAATTCATAAAGCCAGTTTTGCACGGATTCTCCTGCATTATATCACCACCTGAAGATTATTTAGGTCTGCCTTATTATTCAAGGAAAAGTTATCATAGTATTAATTGTCAGATAATTTTAGATAGCAATTACAAAATCCTAAATATAAATGCATGATTTCGTGGATCTACACATGAGATGAAAAATATTAAATCGCACAATTGACAAAACGTTGACGGTTGGAACTACAAATAGATCAAATCACTTTAAACGCGAAGTGGCCAAATGTTTGGCTTTAAGTTTTAAAGGATTCCTTTAAATTTTTTTTTAAGGGACCTCTAAAATAAGTACTTACAGAACAGCAGTTTTCTTTATTAATTTTAGCCAGCATTTAAAATTTAAAGAAAAAGTTACAGGATAGACCCCAAAAAGAATATACTAGCCTTAATATACATTAAAATGTACAGGGTGAGTTTTAAGTTGACGCGTTCCTTTTAACAGTGTGTAGAAATCAGCTAGACAAATAAATATTTTAAGTAACTTTTTTATCAAAACTCAAAAATAAAAAAGTTATAGCACATCAAAGTTTAATTAAATTTTAAGCCGGTCCCGGCTATTCTTAACGAAAAACATAACCATAAAAATATCAAAATAAACAATGCAAAATGTCATATTTGACAACAAACATAACCATTTAAATCAAATTGACATTTTGCAATAAAAAATGTCATTATTTACTTAAGTTGCAGCATTTGCATTTTGACGACACTCTCCATAAATTAGTAACATTTTCACTAATTCATTATTGCTATAATTATGAACCATTTTTAACAATAATTGAGGCATAAAAAAATAATGACATTTTTCATTGCTAAATGTCATTTTGATTTAAATGGTTATGTTTGTTGTCATAGATGACATTTTGCATTGTTTATTTTGTTATTTTTATTTTTATGGTTATGTTTTTTGTTAACAATAGCCAGGACCGGCTCAAAATTTAATTAAACTTGGAAGGCCTATAACCCTCTTATTTTTGAGTTTTGATAAAAAAGTTACTTAAAATATTTATTTGTTTATCTGATTTCTACACGCTGTTAAATGGAACGCTTCAACTTAAAACTCTATAGTTTTTCTGTATAGTTTAGAAAAAGCAAGAACTTTTAGTTCTGGTTTTAATATTTTTTTGTTTTTATTTTCTTTTTTTTCTGTTCTTATTAAATAAAGACATAACAGTGGAGCATGGGAATACATAACAAACGTTATTACTCCGTTTTACAATTAAAATTTAAAAAATATTAAAAGATTTGAAAATAAATTATCTTAAAATAACGTTAGGCGTCCAAAACAGATGTGTAGTGACGGATGAGTTAAAATTATTTTAACTTTCTTCGTCAGACGAATGAAGTTGAAACTTGACGGACCGATGAAATGTCATAATTTTCGAATTATAATTGGACCAATAAGAGCGCTCCCGGACTATCCTACTAAAGGACAAACGGATACATGAAAATCAAGCTTTAGACGGCGTGGATCACTTGATGTTCTTACATCTCGCCTCTGTTGGCTTACCAACCGAGTATATAAGGTCAGGTAGTTGTTTGTTTTGGGTGTGGTGTTCCACTACACCAAGTTGCCCGACACTGTCCGTATTTGGTGGAACGCACTCAAAACAAAAAACTCTGGCGAGCTGAAGGTTGAATCCTTTCTTAAAAACTTTTCGCCGTGCAGGTTCAGTTCTTGAACACGTTCACCTCGGAGCAGGACGGCGTGCCGTCGAGCGTCGACTTCACGCGCGACGAGACGAACCGAGTGGTCGCGTCGTACGCGTCGTCGCACTGCGTCATCTTCGACACGGAAACGGCCAAGCCGGTGATGCGGCTCGAGTCCGGCCAGGAGACGGCCAACGTCAACGCCAAGCAGATCAACAAGATCGTCTGCCATCCGACGTTGCCGCTGACGATCACGGCGCACGAGGATCGGCACATCCGCTTCTGGGACAACAACACCGGCAAGATGGTGCACTCGATGGTCGCGCACCTCGAGGCGGTCACCAGCCTGGCCGTCGATCCCAACGGGCTCTACTTGCTCTCCGGTGAGTGCTCATGTTTTACTTTGTTTTTCGCGTTCGATCGCCTTTTTGTCAACATATTTTAAATGCGCGTAAAAAACTAGCCTGACTTGTTGTGTCGTTTGTTTTTCCAGCCTAATAAATAATAACGATGGTAACCAAAGGGGTTCATTTTCAGATTTTATTCAGATTAGTTTACCAACCAATAACAGTTAGGTATAATTGCTATTCCGCGATAAAAAGTATTTATTGTCATTTTAAAAAAATCAAAAAAAAATTTAATAAAAAAAAATCAATTCTTAGACAGTTTTAGGATATTTTCGAGGATATTTTTAAACATTTTTAGATCATTCTTAAAATTTGGGATATTTTGGATAATTCTGTTAGGGTTGCAACTTTCCATGAAAAGTTGAAATTTTTGAAAATTTGGGTTTTATTTTTTGGAAAAGTGGGAAAAGATGGAAAAATTGGGTTTTTTGTAATGTAAACGTATAAAGCATAAATAATGCTTCTCAATGTACACTGCGCGTCAAAATTAACGCATAATAAGTAAAAAAAATTTAACTCTAGACCGCCTTTACCAATCTTTATAAAATTTTGTATAAAAATACTTTAACTTATATCTCAGTTTACGTGTTCAAGGGTTTTTCGAAAAAATATCCTTACAGCCCTTTTATTTAATAATAAAAAACGCTCGAAAAAAACTTGTATAGGGAATTTTTTTAAATAAATAAAACTATGCTGTGAAATACCGTATTTTTGTAAGTATACCCTGAAAATATTGTGCAAATCAAACAAACAGTAACGAAAATACAGCGCTTTAAAGTCGGCAAAAATGACAGCAAAATAATCAATTAGGGGTCATTTTTACCGACTTTGAAGGTCTGTATCTTCGGTACTATTTTTTATTTACTTAAAAAACAATTTCCCTAAAAGTTATTTTTTAAACGTTTTCTTTTATTATTAAAAAAAGGCTTTAAAAATATTGTTGAGTTGAAGTATTTTTATACAAAATTTCATAAAGATTGGTAAAGGCGTTTTGGAATTAGAATTTTTTTACTTATTATGCGTTAATTGTGACGAGCAGTGTATTAAAATAATTTATTTTGTATGTATACATATGTAACAAGTTGTTAATTTAATAACTATATCGCGGAAGTTTTCCAGCGATTACATAAAAATGATTATATTGTGATATTATAGTTATTTTTTGCACATATATATAAAGATAAGTGTTTACTTTTTTAACTCTGATTTTTGTAATCATTTTGACGTCATCGCTAGAAAAGTTTCGCGGTATATTAATAACAAAATAACATAAAAAAATAACAAACAAAATAAAATGAACAGAAGTAAAAAAGAATAGAAATTTATACACACCATAAAAATACACATACGAAATGAAAATAATTTCAAAAAAATATAAAGTTAAAATAGCATTTAGAAGTCGTTGTTGCCGATTTTTCGGTTTGGCAGCCCATTTACCAAAAATACCTTATTTTCTACCGATTTTCACTTCGGTACATTATAGTTTATTTTTTTTATGAACAGTTTTGTTCCTTGTTTTTTTTTTCAATTTTAAATTTTATCTTATGTCGATATAATTCAAAATACGTGACCCAAATATTCTTATTGGATGAATTTTAGCAAAAATAAAACAATATTTCTATAATAGAAAACCTTTTTTGATAAAGTTTGACAGAATGTTATTCCAAAAAAAAATGATTTCAGTACATTTTACTAAAAAACACTTTTCAAACTTTTCATAGGGGGTGCCGAACTTTTCGACCGAACTTTTCCTTGTTTGCAACCCTATTTAGGATATATTTAAGAGAATTTTATTGGTTTAATAGTTCTATGACTGATTTAAGATATGGACAATTTAGGGTATTTAAAATCATTGCTTAGGGCCGGTTTATCAAAATCGAAATTTAAATCTTTCTTGGACATTTTAGATCATTCTTAGACTGTTTTAGGATATATTTTAGACAATTTTAATGGTTTGATAGTTTCAAGAAAGTTTAGATTATATTTAGACGTTTTGAACTGATCATGGACAATCATTTCTTATACAGTTTTAAAATAAACATTTTGCAATATTTTGACGGGTTTGAATTACAAAACATTCTACAGAATATATTTTGTCATTTTAAACAGATCAATTTAGGACATTTTAGATTATTCTTGGACTGTTTTAAGATATATTTTAGACAGTTTTAATGGTTTAATAGTTAAAGACAGTTTAGATCATTTAAATCATGGACAATTTAGGGGATTTAAAATAATTTATTAGAATAATTGAAACATTTTAAAAACTTTTTAGTTGATTCCTAAATAGTTTTAGAATATTTTTAAACATTTTGACAGGTTTGTAAATTATTAAAGCCTAAAAATGATGTTTTAAAAAAGTTTTAATTCGAATAGGCCTAAATGGACAATTTAGGGGATTTAAAATAATTTATTAGAATAATTGAAACATTTTAAAAACTTTTTAGTTGATTCCTAAATAGTTTTAGAATATTTTTAAACATTTTGACAGGTTTGTAAATTATTAAAGCCTAAAAATGATGTTTTAAAAAAGTTTTAATTCGAATAGGCCTAAATTTGACACATGCGAAAAAATAAATAAGGGTGGATTTTGTCCTTTGGGACCCTAATGAATATTTCTAATTCGAGCAAAATCCAAGATGGTCATGCAACGAGTTTCGGCGTTTTCTTATGGATTGCCTTATGTACAAGAATTTTGAAAATGACCCATTAAGCCTGAATTATAGATTGCCTTCCTTCCTTCCTCCCGTAGTCGTGCCCGTACGATTTGTGCGTCTTGTAAAAAGTCAATTTATAGATTTCCGTGTAAAATTCCGTAACCATGCGCGATGACACCTAAAATGGTTGACATTTGTTTTTGTTTTTATTCTGCGTTTTACCCATTGTCTGTAAATATGAAAGATAAACATTTATATATTAGTGCAGTGATCACAATTTTAATTTCACAGGCAGCTTGTTGTATACTGCCCAACTATGGAGAAAGGAAGTAACTGCTAAACAAGAAATTTGTGGGAAATTAGTATAAACTACATTTTTATAAAAAGCAGTAGGTATTTAACTGATTTATTTAACTTATAAGATAGTTTACTGCATTTCTTTGTTGAATTAAGATACAAAATGTCCATAGCTTTATCATAGCACAAGAAAACGCATTTAGAATTTTTTTTTGTTATGCCTTTCTCCATAGTAGGGCAGTACAATGAAAAAAAACATCGAACAAGACGTTGGAAGACTTGCCCACTTTACCAAGGCCGGGAAACTACGGGGTTTTACAAAGCAACGTTTCTAAAAATGGAAGACATTGATCATAAACAATATCTAAATATCCCATTTAGAGACGCAAATTATTTAATAAACTGAACACCTATCTTAAATAATACTAAACAATCATGTATTTTAAATATTTTGTGCCTACGTGCTGTCACCCTACAGCGCATGTCCATAACAAGCACTGTGGCACTACGATTTAAATAAACATTTTTGACGTAATTGTCACCATTAACATTTCCCGTTATTAATTTTAATTCAACTTAACAATTATTGATACTTTAAAATATTAAAACAACTTCAAAATTTGATTTTGTTGAGAAAATATTTTATCCCTTGATTTTTTTTATTACTATAATTGCAAAATATTATTACAAAGTATTAAAAATTCTTACACGGGAAATTACGTCAAAAATGTTTATTGGGTTTCGTATTGTTCATCTTCTACGGGAGGAAGGAAGGAAGGAAGGAAGGAAGGAAGGAAGGCAATCTATCAGGCTTTAGTTAGGATTAGGATTATACGAGGGCAGTTTGTTTTAATTTTCCTTTTCAGGCTCTCACGACTGTTCCATACGGCTGTGGCACCTCGACAACAAAACGTGCGTGCAAGAGATCACCGCGCACCGCAAGAAGTTCGACGAGAGCATCCTGGACGTGGCCTTCCATCCGACCAGGCCGTACATAGCGAGCGCGGGCGCTGACGGCCTCGCCAAAGTGTTCGTGTAAGCGCACTAAGCACTGCCCCACGAAAAACCGACATCCGTATCGCGCGTTACGATCCGACGCGCTTCAGCGCGCAACTTTTTTGCTTCCATGCGGGCGCATCCGGAAGGAGATTTTGTTTTTCTGGCTCACCATCGCCATTTTCAATGTATTTCGACGATTTTTCTCGAACCCAGTGAAACAATAAATAATCAAACAAAAAAGTTACGTGGACTTGGATTTTGTGAAAAAGTGTAATTTAATAATTAAAAAAATGGTAAAATTGCGTGCGTAACGCAGCAGAGGATCCACGATGTCATGTTTTAAGAATAAAATGAGAAAATTAAGGTTTGTATGTGTTTCAATCGTTCGCATTATAAAAAGTGACGTCAGGCCTAAACATAGTGACTGGACTCACATGCAAATTTTAATTAGTAATTATTAATAAAATAACTATTTAAAATTTTAAAAATATTATATAATATGCTTTACTCTACAATAATTAATGAATTACACTGTACAAAAAGTTTTGCAACATACCTGGGATATTTTTTTGTGTAAGGGTTTTAAAGTGCCAAAAAAACGAAAAAAATTGCTTTTTTTAGTAAAATCTCAATCAACCACTTATTTTAATTTTATTACAAAAAAAACAAATAAAAGTAAACAATAAATTGAATTTAATAAACGTAAACGTTAAATATACGGTTAGGTCCTTTTTGCATAAGTAAATTTATAAAATGATGAATGATTTATAAAAGTTAAATTACGAAATTACAACTTTAAAATCGATGATGATAAATATAACGATAGTTATGTTAATATTCCTACCGAATTAAAATAGTAGGAATAATTAATGTATTCATAATATTATGATTATAATCAGAGTCGAAAATAACCTTTTAGTAGAATTTAAAAACCTCGTTCAGGGCACCGAAAAACTTCGAAAAATGCCGAAGAATTTTAATTTTAAAAAATACCCTTTATTACAAAAAAACAAAAAAACTAAACAATAAATTGAATTTAATTGATTTAAAAAAATAAACGTAAACGTTAAATATACTGTTGGGTCCTTTTTGCAAAAAAAGGAAATATCTATTTATAAAGTTAAATTACAAAATTACAACTTTATAAATCGATGTGTCAAAAATAACGATACTTATGTTAAAATTCCTACCGAATTAAAAGTGTAGGAATAATTATAATCATAATACACTGCCCGTCAAAATTAACGCATAATAAGTAAAAAAATTCTAACTCTAAAACGCCTTTACTAATCTTTATGAAATTTTGTGTAAAAATTCTTCAAATTTTCCGAAATTTACGGAGAATTTAAAAACCTCGTTCAGGGCTCCGAAAAACTTAAAAAAATGCCGAAGAATTTTAATTTTAAAAAATATTCTTTATTACAAAAAAAAACAAATAAAACTAAACAATAAATTGAATTTAATTGATTTCAGAAAATAAACGTAAACGTTAAATATACTGTTGGATCAATTTGCAAAAAAAAGGAAATATCTATTTATAAAGTTAAATTACAAAATTACAACTTTATAAATCGATGTGTCAAAAATAACGATACTTATGTTAAAATTCCTACCGAATTAAAAGTGTAGGAATAATTATTTTAATGATACACTGCGCGTCAAAATTAACGCATTATAAGTAAAAAACTCTAAAACGCCTTTACTAATCTTTATGAAATTTTTTATAAAAATACTCTTCAACTTATATCTCAGTTTACGTGTTCGAGGGTTTTTAAAAAAATATTTTTAAAGTCCTTTTATTTAATAACAAAAAAAACGTTTGAAAAATAACTTTTAGGGAAAATTTTTGTATATCCTAAAAATTTTGTACAAATCAAACGATCAAAGTCCGTAAAAATGACCCCTTTTTGATTATTTTGCTGAAAAGTGGTCATTTTTGACGACTTTAAAGGGCTGTATTTTTGTTACTGTTCGTTTGATTTGTACAACATTTTCAGGGTATACTTACAAAATACGGTATTTCACAGCATATTTTTTATTTACTTAAAAAAAATTCCCTATAAAAGTTTATTATGCGTTAATTTTGACGGGCAGTGTATTATAATTATAATCAGAGTCGGAAATACACTTTATTCTCGCCATCGGTGAATTAAAAATTTTCAGATAAATCGACTTTTAAATAAAATGAAAAATCAATTTTTCGGAAAAAAACGGTTTTTTTCGCCGGCTCAATTTTTCCGGAAATTTTAAAACCCTAGTTCAGGCACCCAAAAACTTTTTGGCGTAATAGCCAATTTTTTGTTTTTTGATTAATTGAACTTGAAAATCAATACAACCGTACGAGTAACCCAAATTTTTCCCCTCCAAAGTTGTAGGAAATTTATTAAAGAACATTTTGCTATATTGAGACTCGAAAAATTGTTTAATCTTCACTATCATTTACGACCAAATTGCAAAATTGTCAAAAATGATTTTTTTGATGAATAAATTATTTGATAACTTTAGTTGGGACAACTTAAAACGACGTTATTATACGTAAAAAGTCAATAAAATTGAATTTTAGAACAAAAATATAATTATAAACAATTTTTCAACTCTAAATATATCAAAATGTTCCTTAATAATTTTCCTACAACTCCTGGGTTACCTTGTTGTATGTATTTTGGATTTTTCGTGAACACAAAAAAAATATCCCAGCTCTATTGCCTTGTAAGACAGTGTTATTGTAAAGTTTCTTGATAAACATAGACTGTGGATAGTTTTAATTCATAGAATTCTGTATGATGCGTTCAAGGCTTTTTCACGTATATTTTTTGATGTACATAATACAGTAAACATTTTAATCATTTGTACATATACTCAATATTTACTTACATCCAATTTTAAATTAATGTTTCTTTTGTAAATAAGTTGTTTTATTTATTTCCTTGCGTTAGTTTTCACGGTACTCGACGAAGTACACTGTAAATAAACTTGTCAACGATGTGGCAACCTTCTTCCAAAAATCCCGTCGAAAATGTCCAAATTTAAAAACGGGATTTTGCGAAAAATTTTGCCTCATTCTTAAAGACGATCGGTACGTTTACAGATTAATTAACAAAAAAACTGTAGCCATAAGAAATTGATGTAAAAAAGGTAATTGTATTAGTTATGTTTATCTTCATCGCAGCAGGTTAACGGACCGTTAGTTTTAGAATTTAGAATTTGCTAAATAAGGCTATTTAACTATTATAGGGACATTCCATGAAAAGCGGGCAACGAAAAAATTGAGATTTTTTTTTTGATTAAGGCCAAATTAAATTCTAAAGATTGAGGTAATATAAAGTTCGGTTTTTTCGGAAGCAGTTTTTAAATTAAACAATTTTACAATAAAATATCAATCATAGCGGTTTTTATTGAAAATTTAGCGTTATTTTTAATTTTATAATCAGATTCAAAATTTGTAGAAAACAGAAAGTAAAGACTTAAAATCAAAATTTTAATAACTTTGTCCATTTTTTAAAATCATTTTTATTTCAATATATAACTTAATGTATATGGGTAATTCCTTTCATAGTGATGATTTTTCGAATGTTTACTTTTTTTTTATTTAAATGTTTTATAAAAATACAAACAGTACTGTACCGTAAAGTTATTGGCTTTTCAATGAAAATATTCATTCGGAAGATCCTCAAAAATTAAATTACAGTGAAAAATACGATTTTTCTGGCCCTGCCGTAATTTTTGTTTAAAATTTGATATTTTTACATAAAATATGTTATTTTTACAAAAGGGGTATTTTTGGTTTAAATAATATTAAATTAAACATTTTTGCAAATATTTCAGGTTATCTTTTAAATTAACGCCAATATTGTCTTATTTTTAGACATAAAGAAGTTTGTAGTTCATAGTTCGTTTTTTTTATTTAGAATTTAACGTCCAAAATTTGGGAGTTTGGTTAGCAAATTCTAGAGACCCTAAATTTATAATTAGCTATGTTGAGTAGGACAAACTAGTTTAGTGGAGGATATAACTGTGGTTAATTTTGAAATGTTAAATAAAAGTCGTTAAAAAATGCAACAATGCAATAATTTGATGACATAACGGCTCAAAAGAGGCAAATTTGCATTTATAAATAAATTTTTATTATAATTCTGACAGTTAAATGACAAATGTCAGAGTATTTAAAATTAAGGGCTTGAACAATAGTACCAATTTTAAATATTAAATATATTAACATACAATACCAACAGAAAAGACCAAATTGGCGTTAATTTGACAGATGAATAACCTCAATTATTTGAAGAAAAAAAAGATTACAATTATTTTATTATTTAAACAAAAAATAACCAAACCGTGAAAGTGACATATTTTATGCAAGAAATAAATATCAATTTGAAATTAAAATTGACAGAAAAATTGCAGTTTTAACTTACCTATAAATTTATAATAAAAATTAATATTTTCATTGTAAACCAAATAATTTTTACAAAAACCACTGTTTGTCATTTTTTTCAAAACAATATTTACATCCAAAAAAAAATAACGAAAAAGTTAAAAAAAATATTGTCAAAATTACAAATATCATTACTACGAAAGTAGTTATATATAATATTAAGAATTTAAATCTTCAGTGAGTTATAATTTTGATGTAAAGAATAACTCCTTAACTTTTTTATATATACACTTTATTTTAAAATTAAAATGATTTTAATAAAAAAAGGTCGAAATTATTAAAATTCTGATTTGAAATGTTTACGTTCGGTTTTATTTAAGAAAAAAATGAAATTTCGAATCAGATTTCATAATGAAAAGAAACCGTCAATTTTCGATTTGTTTCATATTTTCTTGAATATTTGTTTAATTAAAAAATTTGCTTCTAAAAAATCCGTACTTTATTTTACTTTAATCTTTGTAACTCATACAATTTGGGCTTACATTCACACCTTCTAAAAGTACAATTAGAGTAAATGTGAATAATTTTCAGAATCTCACATTTTTGTTGTCCCCTTCACATGAAATGCCCCTATAACTACATTTTTGTATATGTAATAATATTATTATCTATCTGAAATTTTGGTTGACTATCAATTATATAAAACAAATTGGAATATTCCCTGAAAATATTTTCGTCGCTTTTTTTGCTATTGCGTCATCGATTTCTCGTTTTAAAAACATTCAACACATGTTAAAATAATTTAATACCGTACTACACTAATGGACTAAATTGTAAGTAAATTTCGTTTCTCAATTTTTTACCAAGTACCACCGACAGTGTAACGTAAGAGCAATAATAAACTAAAAAATATTAGTTCAGTTTCTGCGACATGCTGTAAGAAGAATGTGATATGAAATCAATTATTTTTAAGTTAGATCATCGCATTTTTAGATTTACTTGCTGATTTAATGATCTGTCTTCGTTTCTATGGGATGAAATAGCGAAATATTAGATTTTTATGATAATTTAGGTTATGTGATAACTTTCAGTATAACCAACAAGATTTATTCAATAAATTAAATTATAGATATTTTTTACATACCTACATTGTTATTGTTAATATTCATTTGATAGAATTTGTTGGTTGAATTGTTTTGAATCGCTGGTAACGAGTCTAAATGAACTGCAATTATTGTGAAACAGTGTGTTATATATACAGGGTGTTCCGCGATTGGATATTTCTAACAGCGTATTTTTTTCGATATTTGTTAAATCTTAACAAATAACTTCCAAAAAAATCGCTATTAAAATGATGACACCTATTTATGCGACCCCCAGTATTCTGATATTTATAGAGTAATGTTTTTATATTTAATTTATAAGTGAACTATTTTTTTTAGACTTACTCCAATGTATTTTGTGGTTTAGTATAGTTATGTTAAAAAAATAGATCAACACGTATTTAGTAGTGGTAATATTTATATTTGTGAGTGTATAATACTGAAATTATATGATGTATAAAAAAATATAATAACTACAGAATAACAATAAATTTATATTGTAAAACCACAGTATTTACACCAAAAATAATTGCGCTATACTACAAACAATTTTTTATGTTGGAAAACTTCAGTCAGATACGAATTTCTGTATTAGAATAAGAAAACAATAAACTGTAAATATACATATAAAGTTAACATGAACTTTCCATTAAGTCTCCCTTCCTGTCCTTAATTTAAAGTTTTCTTTCCTCTTTAATTTGAGGTTGAAAAAAATGAAATGTATTTATTAATTAAAAATAGTTTTTTGTAGTTATGCTATACAGCTTTTCCAGATTATAAAGGATCTTTTGGTTTTATGAAGAGTTTTGAGTTTGAAGAGTTCGTTAAATAAATAACAGTAGGCTGTTTTCAGCGGTGCCAATGTAGTAAAAATAAAACGATGTATTTTAATTAACAAATTATTACTTAATTACAAATTAAAGTATCATTAAAAACTAAAATCATCTTAAAAAGTAAATCAGTAACAATATAAATTGTTAATTTGTTTTTATAATGGAAAAATTATGGTTTAAACTGTCACATTTTTGTTTCTCGTAAGTTGGTAGCACGAAATTTGAAATGACATTTCTAAAATGCTAAAAAAATAGTTTTTTAAAATTTCCGTATACGGTAATAATCTAAGACAAAGAAATAGGTAATAATCAATTTCTAAGCCATGTTCTGTGTCTAAGCCATTACTTGTGCAGAAGTGTTGTATCCCACAGATTCTCCATGGATTATTTTATTAATTCGTTTCCAAACTCGAGAACCCAACAGTTTTCCAGGTTTTAAATAAACTAAAGGTAAGGGCAGTTTTTAATTATTATGACCGTTGCAGTAAAGTTTCACTTCAAAAAATTACTTGAAAACGAAAACCCATAAAATAGTTATTTATGTATCAAGGCAGTAAAGTTGTATTTTTTTCACGAATGTGGAAATCATTTGCAGAGGCGAAAGCCGAGGCAAATAACCACGTGAGTGATAAAAAATGACTTTAATGCCGAGGTGCATATTAAATTTTATCCGAAATCACATTTAATTATACTAATAATTAATATTGATGATTAAATCAAATGTCATTTGATGATCAAAGCAAATGTCATTTGAATGTAGGAAGTGTCTACGTATACTGTTTGTTGCGACGGTTATTATTATATTTGCCCGCCGCGGCGATTTTTTTATCTAATTAATAAAATTAACTTATTATTTTTATTAAAAATTTTATGAAAGGGTCCAATCGACCTCCGCGATGATGCTTTTTTTAAATATTATCTAGTTGCGCTGAGGAGCAGTAGACACATCTTAAAATGTATAATGGGTTGCATACAGTACTAGTATTAAATTGGCAGTAAAGTTCTACTCTTCTGTCGATTGTTGACTACTTAACTGCCGATTTCGGATAAAAATATTTTTTGTCAAGGAATCCACCGTTTCATATTTTTAACCAAACTTTACCTTTTGAAGTCTCCTATAGGAAAATAAAATAAATGTGTAGGTACTGTACTTAATTTATTTATTTTTGTAACAAATTATAATCCATAAAATAATATCAGTGTAAGTTTATTGTATATAATAATACATTGTAAAATAAATTACTCTAAATTAATTATTATTGATCAATGATCATGTATAAATAAAATTATTGCCTGGCATTAACAATTTCAACGAACTCGGGCTTCAACGAAGCACCTCCCACCAAAAAACCATCGATGTCAGGTTGCGATCCGAGTTCCTTGCAGTTGGCAGCAGTGACAGAGCCGCCGTATTGGATTCTGATAGAAGCGGCAACGTCGGGACTGATACTTTGAGCGATGTATTCCCTGAGCGCTTTGTGGACTTCTTGCGCTTGCGCAGGAGTGGCAGTTTTACCGGTACCTATGGCCCAGACTGGCTCGTAAGCAATCACAACATTGGTCCTAAAATAGCATCCTTGTAGTAAAGCAGTCACAACATTGTTTTATTTGATATTTTGAAAAAATTAAACATTTAATTTAATCCCTGAAGATGTCTCTAGACCAAACGTCGGATACCCAGCAAAGAGAAAAGTCTGATTATGTCATTGCCCATTACATATTCATGGCTTAATAATGGCATTTTTAGCCAAAGCTTTCCTTGTACTGGGCCTTTACAGGAATGTTTTAATAAAAATATTAATTTTGATAAAAGGCTGTCAAGATAAGGTCTTGCAATGGCCCTTTTCAGGCTAATATTTATTTTACCGTAAAAGACCCATATATGGCAATTTTCAGTATCAAGTTAATGGAAATTTAAAAAACCATTGAAGTGCCAAATGTTTTCTGTATATAAAACTTACATAAACCTTTAATTATCCTTTGGTTAACGCCATATTTTAAAATATGGGGTAATTGTGAATAAAATAAATTAATAATGGAAAAGACCGGATTTTCTTCTAAAAAAAAATCAATTGAACTTATTTATAAATAGCTACCCTAGGGTAAACCACATAGTTATTGGACACTTAAGGAATATTATTTATTTAAAATTTATATATGCCGTTGTTTTAAAGATTTTAGTTTTTTTCTTATAAATATATAAAAAGGATAGTTTGTTTCTTTAAACTTTATTTACGTTTACTTAAAAATACGAATATTTGAATTTTTAATAATAGTTTTTTAAAACAAGCAAAAAAGTATAGTAATTGGACATTTTAAATAGTAATTGGACACATGGACCATAGTTATTGGACATAGAATTTTTATATAAACACAACAACTTTACATCAAATAACAAAAATTGTTAAATATTTTTTAAAGATAAATTGCTGTTTTAGGTAATTTTTTTTTATTTCGTTTTTGTAAATATCATATAATTCATATATTTCTTTCTCGGATTCCTCATCCCTTTTCTGGATTCTGAAGGTACTATAGTAGTAATTATAATTCCTTGGTCTGACTTCTGAAATAGTTTGTTGCAAATATCATTAAGTATGGGATATATATATATCTAGTTTGTGAAGCATTTATAATGTTTAGACCGGAACAGGGTGATTTATATAAATCCAATATTTTTTCGGGTGGTATATTAAAAGTATTTTCCGAATTTATTAATTTTGTTGCCATTAGTTTTTTATGTTCTCTATCATGAACTGTTATTCTGCAAGATGTCAAAAAGCAGCCACTAATAATTCTCGTCAACATTCCTATAAAATATTATTCGCTGAATCCGAAAATGTCGTTAAAAGTTATAAAAGTAGAACAGTTTTTGAAATATAATCAATTTTACATATAACATGGAATTGACTATATCTCAAAAACTGTTTAATTTTTATAGTTTTTGACGGTCTTTTCGGATTCAGGACAGACAATTTTACATAAGAATTGGCTGGTAAATGCCTGGGATATAAATAGAGTATGATGATGTCCAATATAGAAATTTACATTTTTTACTAACCAGTAATTGGACAATGACCATTTTACTGTTTGTTTTCAGAATTAAAATTAAAACGCATTAAAGTGACAATGTTTAAAAAATGAGGAGCACATTTATACCACACACTGATCTGTACACTTTTTAGAAATATTTTTTATTGTAATTTAAACACAGCCCTGCTCTTAACAGAAAAACAAAAATTTTACCACCAAAGTAACGTGCGAACTTTTTTGTCCTATATTGGACCCAAAATAAAGTAGTTCTATATTATTACCGACTGAGATAGTTATAATTGTATACAGCGTCATCTAATGATTTGACTTTAAGGTAACTATTTATTGTCCAATAACTATAGTGTTCTAGTGTCCTATAATAATAATAATAATAATAATACGTACAGTTCCATTGGAGTTAGCCTTGTAGGGCCTTTAGTTCATTAAAGGCACGTTTATAAAGGGCCATTATAGAACCTTTACCGTTGTGTTTGCTAGGACTAAACCGGAAGATGCAGTTCTCTTTTACTTACCAGTCCTTAACTTTGCAAGCGATGGCGGCGGTTTGACGATTGACCACCTCCATGGTTTTATTTGCTTCGCGTTCCTCCAAAGTCTCTCCAATGCACGCGATTACTTTGAGTCCGTTCTCCAAAGCAAAGGCGACCTTATCGGCGATCAATTCGTCGCATTCGTTGAAGATTTGCCTTCTCTCCGAATGCCCCAAAATGACCCAATCGACGCAAACGTCCTTCAACATTTGGGGCGAAATTTCGCCGGTAAAGGCGCCTTTTTCGGCCTTGTAGCAGTTTTGGGCGGCTACCATTACCCCTTCGGGCGCGTTGGACTGAACGTGTTCAAGGTACAGAGCAGGCACGCCTACGATAACTTCGGTGTCTTTGTTTAGTGGGCCTTTTTTGAGGAAGTCCAAGATTTCTCCGATTTGTTTTTTGTTTCCGTTCATTTTCCAGTTTCCGCCGACCACGAACTTGCGTGTACCGACCATTGTGCACTAAAAAAAACATATTAACATTAAAATACATCAAAATCAGTTTGCTACATTTGAAAAACATTTTTTCAGCGTATATGGTGAGATTAAGTTTACTAAAGATTTCTTTAAAAGCAACATCTTTACAATTTGACAACACTTTGACAACTTGTAAATAAACAATTTTAAAACATTACCCCACATTTTATCATCTTGATGTTTTTGTATGTGGGCTCTAAACAAAAATAATGTAAAAATTCAAGCGAATATGAACGATTTGACAACACAAAAATTTAGAAATAAATGTCAAATATCAAAAAATGAGTTACTGCAGTTTGTTGTTTTTTATTCGGAATTTGACAACGTCAAAAATTTGGGGGTTTAGTTGGCAAGTTCCAGGGACCCTAAATTTATAATTGGCTACATTAAGTAAAACAAAATAATTTGGTGGAATTATGCCATAGATTTTATGATTTATGCTAAACCCTAGTAGGGTGACTCTACCTATGTCTCCTAAAATAAAGGGTTGCGGAATCAAGTTTATGAAATGTGCAAAAGTCCAAATAAAAATGCATATATGCATTTTGCAATTTTACATTTTTAAGGAAAAAATCAGTCTGTACTATTTTCAATGTCTGAGATTTATAGATAAAATACTATATACTATCATAATAGTACAAACATATGTTAATATATACTAAGCCTATTGGCAAATTTAAACAAAATTGGCAAATTAAAACAAAAACCGCCCAAAAATAAAATAACATAGAAACCTAAACTAGGTAGGTACCTACTTGATTTTGGGTTAATTTTAACATTTTAACATGGTCTGTATTTATAGGATCATAAATTTGTATTTTTTACAAAAATGCAGTTTTTAATAGATTACACAATAAATAAAACCTTTGCATTAATAAAGAAACGTATTTTCTAAATAAACTACAAAATATAGTGTCTGTAATAGTTAAGCTTACCTTGTTTAAGTTAAAAGTTGTTTAATCGACAAAAAGTGCCCCCAATATCACTTGGAAAGTCGCAGGAATGAAAATAATCCCGGCAAAGTAAGATGTGCAATAACCTTCAAATTACGGTAAGGTCAATAGGCCACGCCTATCTAGCTGCGACATACGTGACTCGACCATAGACATGAGAAATTGCAGAGAGCTTATTTGACCTTTTAAACGTGGAAAAGAAAAACAATGTAAATGTTTAATTTATTTTAATACAAAATAATTGAATGACATCATTTTTTGCTATACTGAACAATAATTGGCTTGTTCCTCAATAAAATTCCGTTTAGAAGAATTAGGGCTTCTTTTGCAATATTTTCATCTACAAAAAAATTATAATTCCATTGTTCATTTATATGTTATTAAATACATACCTTTAAATTGTATAAACCCTTGCCCTTTCATTTTTCCTTTCATCAAATCAATTGAAATTATATTATTCTTATCAATATCAGTTAGTAAGTTAAACAAGTCCCTTTCTTCAACATTTTTATGCATATTTTTTAAATATAACTTTGATGTAGTATCTCCTGGTTCATAGTTTTTAAATTTGTCCATACTTTTAATTTCTTTTATGGTTAGTTTGTTTGGTTTTTTATTTGTGTCAATAATTTTAGAATCACCCTGTATCTGTACAATTTTGCCATCCTTAATTGTATATAAACTCTGTTTCTTACAAGAATATAATTTATTTTCATGTACTTTAACTTCTTTTTGTGTCTCTTGTTTATCCCATTTGGAATTTTTTGTTATTGGTCTACTTTTGTTATTATTTTTATACTCTATAGGTTGAATTTGATTTAATTCATTAATTTGCCTTGCCAAGGATCTCGCTTTTTTCCTTATTTTCTTCACATCCACTGAAGAAAATAAATCTACATTTTTGTTTAAGTTGTTTTCAACTTCTTGTATATTATCCATAGGATGTGGCAATTTTTCCTTTTTCCCCTCATTATTTAAAGCAAACTTGAGTAGCTTAGTTTCTGTACTATCAGGTTTTACAGAAAATAAATCCTCCGCTTTTTGTTTTGCTATATTATAAACATTTATTTCCTTATCATCTAGTGTTGTACTTTCAAAAATAACTTTTTCTATTCTTTTTATGTTACCCATTAAAATATCACTGTTTATATTTCTGTGCTTTGATAAAACATATCCAAAACCTTTTAAATTATCCTCATATAACTGTATATCTTGTTCAGATAACCCAAGAGATTTATATTTATCATAAACGTCAAATTTATTTGTTTCATTTTCAAAATAACTTAATGGAGTTACCCCATGTAGTCTGTTTGTAACTGGAACGAATTCACTACTTCCCACGAATTCTTTTGTAGCATTTAATTGTCTAATAGAGGTGGAGAACTATCGATGGCAACTCTCGGACTATCGATAGTTTAACCACTATCGCCATCTATCGATAGTCAGAGGAATTTGAACGATAGTCACCGAAAATCGCCCGCTAAAAATTCATCGCCTTAAAGTTTCTAATTTTAATATATCATATTAAATATAATAAAAAATAAAAAATATTAAATTAAATAAGTAGAAAGTCACTAAATTTTAATTAAGAAAACAACCTTTTTTACCGACTACGAGCCCTAACCACATAATGTTCGGACATTTCATAATTTATACAGAAATTTTTTTCGTGAATACTATCTCAAAATTATTAGAAGTTATGAAAAATTCAGCTTATTTTGGCATATACCCCTCGAGGCGATTTTTATTTTTAAAAAGTTTACCTTTTATTTTTAGCTTTTAAAAAAAGGCTAACTTTTTAACTTTTTTTTGTATGAGTAAAAAAAGTTATAAATGGACCCATTAAAAAGAGCATAAAATATTATACAAACCCTGAAAATTTGGTAAAAAATAAATAAGTTATAAAAAAGTATAAGTAATTTAAAAATGCTATTTTTAAAGAGTTTTTGCAATTTTCTTAGGAAACGGGAGATTTTGCAGATATATATCGCTATAACTTTCTTATTATTTATACAATTTTTACCAAATTTTCAGGGTTTGTATAATATTTTATGTTCTTTTTAATGGGCCCATTTATAACTTTTTTTACTCATGCAAAAAAAAGTTAAAAAGTTAGCCTTTTTTTAAAAGCTAAAAATAAAAGGTAAACTTTTTAAAAATAAAAATCGCTTCGAGGGGTATATGCCAAAATAAGCTGAATTTTTCATAACTTCTAATAATTTTGAGATAGTATTCACGAAAAAAATTTCTGTATAAATTATGAAGTGTCCGAACATTATGTGGTTAGGGCTCGTACATGACATTTGCTGTGCGAAATAGTTATCTATATAATTTAAAGTCCGTTTGTGCGAGCATAACACAGAGGTTTTCTATGGGTATATGCGTGCAAGGGGTTCCCAAAAGTGTTCGTGATACTCGACCTGTGATTTATTTTTGTTTATTATTCCCCCAATATTAAATTTAAAACTATCGATAGTACTATCGATATTATCGATGGTGTTAGAATCGCACTATCGATTAATCGTAACCCAGCACTATCGATAGTTCTCCACCTCTATTGTCTAAAACACTTCAAATGTTAATATTTGAATGGAAAAATTAGTTTTACCTTAAAATACTTTGCTAATGTTGTTTTTTTCTCCAATTGTTTTTCACTTAGTTTTTTTATTAATAAATCACCCTCTGTTACTAATTTCTTCGAAGGAGGTTCAAAATCTTTGTCAAACTCATGGGTTTTTTTAGTTTTTGTATTGAAAATGCTAAACATTTTTGTAAATATTCAATTTAACCTCACTTATAAATGTCAATACGCATAGCTATGCAACCCATTACACACGTATGTATTCTTGTTGCCTATATTAGTAATAAAAAGACAATAGTTTTAACTTATTTATTTAACATAAACAACTATTCCTCCAAGTTTTGTATAATATCTCTAGCTCTTTTAACAATTTTCTGGTCATCTATTTTAGTCTCACTTTCTTCAGTTTCTTCCTCACCCTCCTTGTCATCATTTTGTTTGGGTTCCTTTTTTTCAATTATTTCAAGTGCTGCTTTAATCATCACTTTCCTGACTTGTCCTTTGGATCCTGATAAATACTCTAATAATGTGTTCCAAAATTCATCGGGTACTTTAGCAGTATCAAACATGTTTTGTTGCAACCAAATTTGTTTTAGTTTCTCAAATTTCCATTCGGACTTACTGTGTTTCCATTTGGAAAGGTAATTAAGGGATTTTTGTTGCATATCCAGTTCGTGTTTAAGTTTTTTCTCTTTTAGTAGTTGTTCATGTTTTTTACGTTTTTGTGCACGAATCGAGTCAGGTTTTTCTACTTCAGGTTTATCTTGGTCTAAAAATATGTTGAATTCGTTTAAAAGTGTTAAAATATGTTATTCAAATATAATTTTTACCATTTTCATTTGTTTCATCTAAATCTTCATCATCTTCATTTTCTTGTGTTTCAGATTTAGCGATTTTGTCCTTTTTCTTCTTCTTTTTAGGTATAATTACTTTTTCACTATTATTTTCTTCGTTCTTTCGTTTGGGCTTCTTTTGACCACTAGGTTTAACAATTTTAGGCGCTTTTTTAGTATGCTCTTCGTGATTTTCAACAACTTCTTCACTAATATTTAATTTTTTCAGTTTTTTGGCAACTTTCTTCTGTTTTTTGGCCTCACTTTTCAATAATTTATCTGCGACATCTTTTGTTACAGTTTCCTCATCAAACGAGATGATTTTCGACTTTTTACCCTTTTTATTTTTCTTTATTTGCACATTTTCTTCGGAAACCATGTTTACAAAAATGTTAGGTTAAGTAACATAACCTTACTTTTTCATGATGTCAAAATATTGTGTTTAGCAGTTGGTAGTTGTTTAATGTTGGTGACAATGTTTTTTTGCTTGAATTTTACCGCTCTTTGTTTTCATAATTTGGATCACAGCTGTGATTTGGATTTAGGGAATAAAAACGTATGGTAAGTTGAAACTTTAAATATATTGTCAATAATAATACAAAATAGCCTAAATATATACAACATAAATACAAAATTATAGTAAAAGTATCTTGTAACAAGGTTTTTTTATATAAATTAATTAAGTACTTACTTATTGAGTCTTTTATATGGTTTAAGATATTTTTAAGGCTTAAGTCTAACTTATAAGGTAGGTATAAATATCACAATAAAATTAAGTAACTCAGAACACATTCAGCATTCAAGACAGTAAGATATATCACATTTATGCACTCTCCTGCAAAAACCACATGTCAAAAAATATTTATAATACAGGTTATTTTAACTTATTTAACATTTGTTCATAGTCTACAAACAGACGAGATAAAGCAGGTCCTAGGTGAAAATAACTCAGTCTCAAAATATATTAACGTTTTTGTCTTTTTTTTAAATTTAAAGTCAATAATACGTTGTTGATGTTGATTGTTCGTTTGCAAATATTTCTGCTTGGTGTTTTTCTGACTGGTTCTCTCTGGATATGCTGGGCGTCATCTCGTTCGGAGATGGGGATCTGCTGTCTTCATCTGAACTCGATTGATTTGCCTGCAAATAATTATTATTATGTATTTCAATTTTAAACCCTTATTAATTAAATAAACAAGATATAACCGATTTGAGCTTGTGTTACATTTAGTATCCACAAAAGCAAATTCACACAAATTAAATTATAATTGGCCAATGCCATTAATTTGACGAATATCTGTGAAATCTAGACAACACCAACATAAACCAATCGCTAACCGGTATAACTTAATTATAATTAGTTACGTCTATAGCGCATTCGTAAAATTTTAAATTCTCACCTCTTGAACTATTGCGATAGTATTCACTTCTCCAGCGGGGCGATTTTGATCGAAATTAAATGTCTGTGACTCCACCACTTGAATTATGCTCTCCTGACTGTCTGAACACTATAGGTACACACAATAATTATTTAGGTAATTTTTTGTACATTTAGGTACGTCATAGGATACACTATAATATAATATATAATATAAGAATCCACATGCCAAAATTAAACAAGTTTTATAAGTTACAAATGCTTTTATTGCTTAACTTTAAATAACGCAGTATGGCACCTTAATTAAAACTACAGATGCACCCCTTATGGGGAATTAACATTCGCGACCAACTTCACATCGTACGACTTTCAAAAATCAAGTTACAACATGCACTAATGAATAGACAAACAAGACGCAACGAGACTGGGACAAAATAAATAAAATCGAGCATGCTAGGGATAAAACTACTAGTTACCTCCACCAGGGTGCGTATAGGAACAAAAACAAATATCACAGAAAGGGATTGAGCTTGAGATACGAGCTTATTGAGGGGCTTATCTATTCGTGTATGGTATTTGGACACTGACCACGAATCCATAGTGTTTCAGGATGTCCATTTTGCACATGGGACAGGTGCGGTGCTCCAGCAGCCATGGGTCTATGCACACCTTGTGATAATCGTGACTGAAAACAGAAAATGTAAGTTAATCCGTATTTTTTAAATTTGACATTTGGATGTTTTTGACGTTTGTATTATTGACATTTCAAGGGGGACTTGATTGAGAGTTTTAGTGGATTTATTAAAAATTATCATTAAAAATAACCAGTATATTGCCAGCAAGATACATACACCTTATTGTATTGTATTGCCAGTGTGAGGCGATTTAAAAACATTTTTTGATAGTTAAAGGCATTTTTGAATCTAGGGTAATCTGCATTAAAAGCTACGATTTTTACACTAATTTTAAAAAGTTGCATGATGCTTTTGTACTTACCTACAGGGCAAAAGTCTTATCACGTCTCCTGATTTATAGGCTTCTATACAAATTGGGCAGCATTCAGCTTCACCTTGTATCTCCTTGAAAATAAAAGCAACATACATAAGTAAATAGAATTAATGAGGCCCTTAATTAAAGAAAGTTAAACGCACAAATCAATAATTGCGAAATAAATAAATTGTTATTGTGCCAAAGACATTAAATTAACTCGCTACTAAAATTATTTAATTACTTTGTGCACAATAATGTTGCAATAGGTCTCTAGGTCGTTAATTGAATTGCACATATGTACCTAGGTAATGGCATTTATTAATTAAACAAAGCCTTATTTCTATTTTACGTAGGCGATAGACGGATAACGCCAGTTTGTTTTTAAGTGATTCCAGGAAATTAAACGTCCATATTATAGATACAATACGAGCTAAGAATAGAATGGATTAAAATTTTCCCACCTACCTTGTCCCCGCTTTTTAGCGTTCTCGTTGGAATTTTGCAGACAGCTTTTTTCGCAGCGCTGTTCAGTCTCTTCTAAAAAAATAATTAAATTAATAACAATTTTATAATTTTTAAAGCACGTTATAATTAATTTTTTGGGTAATTCAAAACTGCCCTTCCATGAATAAATTTTAAAAAAATGGTTGGAAACATCCGCACGGTAGTTTAAAATAAAAATGGTGGGAAAAATTCGCACAGTAGCATATATTTGGAAAATGGTGGGACAAATTCGCACAGTGGGATAAATTTAAAAAATGTTGGGAAAGATTCGCACAGTGGGATAAATTTAAAAATTTGTAGAACACATGTGCACAGTGCATAAAATTAAAAAATAGGATCAATTCGCACAGTGGTATGACAAATTTTTAGATTTTTTAAATTTTTGTTTTTTAAATGTTACACCTACTTATCAAATAAAAAATAAATTTTATTAAAATTACTTATACAATACTTACTGAAAGTCTTTCTCTTGCGTGCGAGTATCGGAATCGTTGTACATAATAAAATATGAGCCAGGCCAGCGAAATGATGATTAAAATTATAAACGTAATGGAAACGAACAATACGGAAGTCCTGCAAGGAAAAACAATACCGTCGGTAATTAATACTTGGAATTTGAAATTTATGTTTTAAATATTGAATTTGTTATAAATAAATATAATTATAATTATTAATTAAAACTTTATTGGTATTATGTATGGGATTTTGAAAGCAAAGTTTACAGTTAGGAATGTTTGTTTATATTAAATTTATGTAGGTTTTTATTGGGTGTTTACGTCAAACCAATAGAAATAGCTTGAAATTTCACACAATTGTTTAATATTTTTATACAGTGTGGACGTTAAAATTTAGTAATCGGAAATTTTAGTATAACTTTTAACATTTTGGAATTCTATTATTTTAAACCTAACCTTATATATATAATAATAATAATAATAATTCTACACCTTTTGACATGTATTGATTAAAAAAACAAAAGGCGTCTTAGGGGCCGTCCATAAATGATGTCACACGTTTTTTAAATATTTTTGACCCCCCCTCCCCCTCTTGTCACAAAGTGTCACAAATTATGGGACCCCCCCCCCTCCCCATTGGCGTCACGTCACACTGATTTATTTTTTATGTAAGGTATACCCCACGAAATTTTTGCCTAAAATAAAATAAAATATTTTTATAATTTTGTGACATCACAACCTCCCAAACCCCCCCGCTCCCGGCTGTCACAAACTGTCACATTTTATAGTTCAAAATACATTTTTGTAAGAATATTTTAACTACTTTAAATTTTAAACTAATATTTATAGCTAGATGATTGGCTTAGAAGCATGCCTGAACTAATTTAGACTCACGATTGGCGTTAGCCTTGTTGTCTCGTTCTATTACAATGCGATATCATAGTTGTCTCCTTCTCTCGTATTAGCATACGCGAGGCAGGCACGCCTACATCCAAGGAAATAAGCAGGTGTTGTGGCAACACTGTTGCGGAATTTTAGATAAATTATACTTCACACGTTTTTCAAAATTCAATAATAAATGGTATTATTTTTCTTATAATAAATCGATTTAATCGAAATTATATTTCTATTCTAAAATAAACATATTTTAACACTATCGCCATCTTGTAGCCATCACAGTAACCAATGAAATAAATACAGATCCCCTCTTTAGGTTTGTTTTGGTTATAAAATTCTGAACTGTTTAAAGAACAAATCTGTGGTTATTTACGCAATATTTTGTTTATTCTTTTTCTATGAGTTTGTCTATTTTATGATTCTTTTGTAAGTGGTTTATTCTGTGGGTTTAGTTAATTGAACTTGGTGATTTATGTGAATTTAGTCATTATGGATATTACGGTGAGAAATAAAACCTAATGGTTATATTAATAATGCTGCACTTTACCTCTACACCTTCACGTGGTTCTTGCTGAACAATGAAATATTAATTAGACAAAACTGAAGTTTATTTAAAATAAACGTCATTTTTACAATAAAATATATTTCATTGACAAAGTAGAGGATTCCTTCCTCACCACAGTCTAAGTTTTTTACTTAGATTTAAGTATAGGTTGTGAACTGCGACGTCAGTTTTTTTAAGTTGGGTTTAAAAAAATTTCTTCGCCTTTAAATGAAATGTCACGGGCCGCCACTGAAAAGGAACCATTTATTTGATCGAAGTAGCAATGGAATTTTGTTTGATATATACAACTACTATGGCCACTTGACTTTGACAGTGCCAAAAAAACAATTGGTGGTGGCGAAGAGAACTATTTTTGCACATGTGCTGCAAAAACTTCTTCCTCATAACTAAATTGATTTATGTCGTATTTAAATAATTAGCTCGTTTAAAACTTGCGCTCAACTTTGAGTAAAGTTCAAGTTCGGCGCGGTACACAGCCAAGGTGATGGGACAAGGACTACGTGTAAGAAAATGTGTGTGTTTTATGACCAGGAACTGAATTCGAATTAAATCGCTCACGTAGGTACAACATATTTGTGGCGTTCAACATCTTGCGGAAGCAAACAAAGAAATCACAGAGCCTATTTGAATTTTTAATTTTTTAGGATTTATGGTAATTTTGTTTACGCATTAATCACAAGCCCGTTTTATCTGTTGAGGTTATGGTCAAATTAGATGAAGATTAATTTAAACAATCACCTGGAAATAAGATAACAATCAGTAGCAAAACTATTGATTTTACCCCAAGGCCGTTAACTAATAATTAATTTTCACAATTGAATTGTTACATAAATTTAAAAATGGCCTTGTTTAAAAATAATTACGCATAAACTACCTTTGTACAAATTTTCATATCAAAAAGTTGTTACAATCTAACCAAAACTAGTGTAGATAGATTATTGTATAGTTGATTAATATTTAAAATTTAATGATCTTATAAACAATTATGATCGTTAAATGTTTTTTTATTATAGGTAGGCATGTGGTTTTAATATTTCCAACATTTAATATATTTCTTAATGTTTTAATTGTTTTTTTAATCTAACAATATAATACCTGTTTATACTAGCCGATCTAGAAACAGTTTGTCCAGCAACCGTAATAAAAACTGACACGTCTTCGTGAATCCTTACAAGTCTTGCCAACTCCTCGCCTTTCCATCTGTAGATGAAAACAGCGCTGATATTTCCTGCAAAAAAAAATAAAAAAGAAAAATAACTAAAATCCAATTTTTAATAATGCAAAGTTATCGCATTAAATTAAGTTTTCATCATGTAAATGTTAGATAACTCCGGACTCCGGAGAATTAACTTCTTTTACGTTTTTTATGAGAAATGCTTTTCTCGTTTATAATGCGAAATTCATGATGCGGAAAGTATTTTAAAGAAAAAGGTGGGTATAAAATAAATACAAAAAATATAATACTTATAAATAAATAATGTTCTTTTTATCGATTTACACTGGCAGTCCGAGACAAAGCTGGCAGTGCATATTTACTTTCTGTGTAGGTAATCTATAAATAACTATTAATATACAGGGTGTCCCAGATGATGGCAATGAATATTAACATTAAAAATTTTCTAACCCGCTAAACTGTGAACGGGAAATTCGCGTGCAGCTTTCCTTATGCTCTTCCTACTATTGGCATCAAGGGGCTTGGTTGGTAAATATGGAACCAAAAAAAATTTCAAAAATTTTTCATCTGCTTAGCTGAAAATAATGTGTGATTTAATATTTGTAAAACCAAAAACGTTACTTTTTTCCTCCAAAATTATCCATAAGGCGATGTACTTTTTCTGCCATTGATGCATTTGGCATAACTTTATCGAAATGAAGTTTTGCCCTTAAACGTTCTTTTACTTTAGAATCTCATATTATTTTTGGCATAGTTATCTTTTTATATCGATATTATATAATAATTAACAAGTACCTAAATTATAAATAATAAATATTACTCAATCAATCAATTTGAGAGTGTCAGAGTATTTAATTATAGTACTTATAAGTACTATATACAGGGTGTTTCTTTTAACTTGAGACAGCTCAATATCTCGAGAAATACGCATTTCACGGAAAAATGTCTTAAATAATAGGTTAATGTGACTAAAGGGGACATTATTTGGTGCTACCGCTAGCCACACCCTACCCCTCCTTAAGGGTGAAACGGGGGGTAACTTTGGAAAGTCAAATGGAATGACCCGATTTTTTTCGCAGAGTTTGGTAGTACATAAAAAAATAAATAACTTTTATTTAAAACTTTTTTCAATTTATCAACAGATTTTTGTTTTTCAAACGTTTCAAATAATACATTTTACGAGGAAACCCCTTTTTCTTAAATTTTGAATTACAGCGCCATCTGTTGATAAATTGAAAAAAACTTTCAAATAAAAGTTATTCATTTTTTTATGTACTACCAAACTCTGTGAAAAAAATCGGATCATTCCATTTGACTTTCCAAAGTTACCCCCCGTTTCACCCTTAAGGAGGGGTAGGGGGTGGCTAGCGGTAGCACCAAATAATGTCCCCTTTGGTCACATTAACCTTTTATTTAAAACATTTTTCCGTGAAATGCGTATTTCTCGAGATATTGAGCTGTCTCAAGTTAAAAGAAACACCCTGTATTAAATACTAAAAATACTAAATCAAACTGGCATAAGCTACCAACTTTTTCACACAAATTTTTCCAAAATCGTTTTTGTATAAAAAATATAAACTTTTCAGTAAAGACTTTTTATTACATGACAATGAGATCAAATGTTCTATGAAAATAAAGTGACATCTGTTAAACACTTCATATAAGACACTCGAGTGCCCAATGTAAATTTAGAATTTTATGTTCCTACGTTGAATTTATTGCGAAGCTTATTAATATATTTGACACGCTTATGTTCAACTGGAAAAACTGGAAAGTAGGTACAAGTCAAATGACGGAAAACACGTCAATTTTGATTAGCAACGCGCTGTAATAATGATAATTAACCGGTTAACATTGGAAAGTCTGAAGTTATGAATTAGTTGAAGCAGGCCAGGCTTTAGTAAGTATGGCGGCCTAGGCATTTTTTTTGTCAAATTTTTTATAATTTTCCATTTTTCTGTATGCAACTTTTCATATACAGGGTGTACCTGTGTAAAATGCTTGATAAATACAAATTGACAAAAAATTGTTTTTTTTATTGTTTCCGCTTCTGCTTCTGTTATTTATACTTCCGTTGCATCACTATAGTGTTAGGTTTACTTAATTTATATAAATGATAAAATTTTAAATCTGACAACATTGTAAACTTGATTTCTGACAATGAACACTATGACAGTTTTAAAGTGCAGGGCGGTCGCCGACCTTGCCGACCCCTAAGCCGGTACTTATAAACAGAACAAGCAGAAAAATGTCTTTCGGATTTCATGGTCGGTTACCAAGTGTAACAACCTGCGAATGCGCGTACAAGATCCAAGAAGACCATGTTTCGTTTTGCCCATGGCGCGCTTGATGGTTTGTCGCCAGAGGCAACGTGATCGCGAATATTAAGATGCAAAGATTAACAAAAGAATTCGTCGTGTTTTTCTTGGGTATGTTGGTTTTGTAATGCAGTCACGTACGAAGATTTGGCAAATATGGATGCAACGAGTAAATATTGTCGTACTTGACGTGAATAAAGAATTGTCGAAAGTTTGCACTATTGTTAAAACCATAATAATAATATTAATACATTTTCGATCAGACCCACCATTACTTATTTATTAATGAAATAAAGTAGCCATTCACAGGCGTGTTTTAGCAGAATGATTAGAGGTGGGAGAACTATAACGTGCAGCTTAATCTTAGAAATTTTATACAAAATCGTAGTCACTGTCAATGTTTTAGTTTTTAGGTTAGTTTTAACTTGAGATATTCTTTTTTTAGGGAAAATTGGTGGCCCTAGAAAGGGCCGTTTTTTTAAATAGATTTTGGTCCATCGGTGAAAGCCGAGGCAAATAACCACGTGCTCTCTAAAAATGAATTAGTCAAAAATAACTAATTATAAGTCATATTTGACTAATTGTCATAGCGAAAAAGCAGTCACTAATAATTAGTCAAATTCTACTGAATTAAATAGTCAAATTAGTAGATTTAAATTTAAAAAAGTTTTGACCCAGCCGGGGATTGAACTCAGGTCTGTCCCTTGTCAAGCTTGTCAAGCTGTTGACATAACCCATTCGGCTAACAGCCGCTCTTATAAAAATCAATTTTATTTGTCAATAAATATTGTTCATATTATTTTAAAGTTGAATATATTATTTGTGTTGCTGTTTTGAGCTAAATTTTTTGCATCTTTATTTGTTTTTATGGGTCATTTAACCATGGAGCTTAGGTATATGCATTTCATTCAAATAATACTATGTTGTTGGCCGCAAACGATTGAAGAAATTAGTTACTTTTAACTCTCAGAAATAGTCAAAGATGGTGGCTAATCTTAAATTAGTTAAACTTTAACTATTAACGTAGTAAAAAATAACTATTTAAAAGTGAAAACGACTATTTTATTAGTAAAAAATGCTGGTACTAATTTAAATAGTAGAATTTTGACTATTTCATTTTTAGAGAGTAAGTAATAAAAAATTACTTTAATGCCGAGGTGCATATTAAATTTTATCCGAAATCACATTTAATAATACTAATAATTAATATTGATGATCAAATCAAATGTCATTTGAATGTAGGAAGTGTCTACGTATACTGTTTGTTGCGACGTTTATCATATATTTGCCCGCCGCACAGTGTTTCAGTTCTCGAAAATATCGACAAAACCTAAAAAATTGGCATTTTTTTTTCTGGTAAATTTTGAGTTAGATGGGTAGTTAATACCTGTCTCCATCCTGTATTGAAAAAAATATATAAAAAATACGTATATTTTGTCTTGTACATCAGTTTAAACTTGACGCTTTCAGTTGAAAGTACTTTACACGCGATCGCTGCGGAAAATTGTTTATTGTTTAAAAGTGAATAACTTGTGTTTGGTGTGTCCGATTGTTATGCGGTTTGATGAAGGGTGATCTTCAAGGTATGTAAAATTCAGATATGTATTTGTATTTAGTAGATTTTGCTTGTACAACGGGTTATCGTATACGACAAGATCGGTCTGTTAAAATCGCAAACTTTGAATCGAGCTTTTAGAACAATGAAGCTACAAAAATTGTAATTAATTGTATACAATTATAAGGCATCAGTTCAAGATCTGTTGAATAGCTTAGAGTTTTGTCTATCAAATTATCTGCCCCAACTTGCCCCCGGCTCTTTAAAACTACATGTTCTTGGGCGCTCAGGCACGGTTGTGGTAAAAAACCTCGCGATTTTAAGCCTAAGTCGAGCGCGTATCTGTGTTTTTGCTTTACAAAATATAAGATTTTTTTTTATTTCTGGGTTGCGTTCATGACGTTTACTCGATTCACTCGGATTTAACTCAAAACGTTTATTACAACAGCGGTGTCTAGACTTTCACTTGCGTAAATCGTTCGTGTCTACTAAGATATTTATTTTTTATATGATTTACATATTTAACCCACCTCTTGTAGGTGCGTTAAAACAACTCCGCATGCGCATTGTAGTGTGTTAATATCAAATTTGAATTGAGGTTATTTGTGTTGACAATTTTTTTAGCGAATCCAGTGACGAAGATTGTTTAATATATATGTGGGTATTAAATAATATTATATAAATGTAATTATAATAAACTAAATTAAGCTATTTTATAAAAAAAACATTTATTTACATTTTAAAGAGAACCTCTTACGAGTTTTTAATTAATTTTGACAATTTTTTGAAAAAAATGTCCGCCATTTAAGGGATACCATTTTGAATTTTGGAATTTTGATTCCAGATTCATTATCAGCGACCCCAAAAACCCCTGTATGGTGATTTTCAATTTATTCCATCAATTTTGTGACAAATATGTCCGCCATTTTGGATCTACCATTTTGAATTTTGGAATTCTGATTCCAGATTCGTTATCAGCGACCCCAAAAACCTCTTTATACGGATTTTCAGGAGAATCCGACTACTTGATATTTTGCCGAAAATTTCGAGAATCGTCGCGGCGATTTTTTAATCTGATTAATAAAATTAACTTATTATTTTTATTAAACAACATTTTATGAACGGGTCCAATCCACCTCCGCGAGGGTGCTTTTTTTTAAATATTATTTAGTTGCTGCTGT